TATGTGTCATTCTCTCCACAATTTGCTCCTTTAATATACAAATGCCATGTGGTGAATTGATGGACTAATAAGGAACACACCGAAGCAAAGGATGTACGCATTAAAACTTTGGAATCCATTAATGGGTCCCATTGTATAAAAATATACCATTTTCTTTTAATTGTTATAACTTTTTTATTTTTTCTCTAATTTTTATAAAAATATATCAGAATTCATAATTTTTTACGATCTTTCAAATGACATCAATATTGAATATATAAAAGTTAAAAAGAAAATCTGAAGGTTTATTTAGTAATCTTCCTATTTTCAAATTCGATACAGACTATTCCGTATTAAATAAATGTATAATTCATAACGTATGACTAAAACAAGCCTAATGGATAAAAATATGACTTATTAATTTTTAGTAACTATAAATACGTTTAAAATTATATCAAAGTGACTATAAAAGTGTACTCATAGCCACTTTTTGTTCGAATTAACTGAATTTATTGTAGAAGATTATTTTACCTACTTCTTCATATAATTTTTTCTTTACTTTATAAATGAAATGTATTTTAAAATACAATTTCCCCATAACTCAATAAATCCAGTCAATTTAGCCAAAATGTTGTCAATTACGATAGATTCAGGCAATTTCTATGTCACCTAACAGACTTTAAATAACATTCTAAATGAGCCCGATATATTTTGTAATTGTCAATATAAAACAGGCCCATGGTTTTTAAATGTCACTTGGTCCATTAAAGTCGTAAAAAACTATGATAGTTTAAAATTAATTTTGTTATCATCATTTCCATCATACGATCTTTATCTTTATTTTATCTTTTACATATGTTATAAAAACCAAAGTCGCCCTTTTAAAATCAAGTCATAGTGTGAGCACACCTGAAATGTATGTTCCACCACGAACTGAACAAATACAACTTCATAAGGATATTATTAATCGGTTCGAATGTATGAATAGACTTTTTATCATCAAATTGCTAACACTAAAATGATTTAGTACGCATATCAAAATTTTCTTTTTGAAAATTATTAGCTCCTTATGCTGACTCAAGTTCTAACGAATACTTGCCCTATACTAATCAAAAAACTAAATAATTTAATTTTGGTCAATGTATTGATCATATAATGCAATTTGATTCATATTGGTCATTGTGTATTATTAATATATTGGATTTCTGTTATTTTTTATACTTTGATATTTGAGATCGAAGTTTGGATTGAACAACGCGTGGCTTTCTTGAGGGTAAGAGAGTACTTTAAATAGCCTATTCTTTACTTATATATAAATACACACACACAGTTATATACACGAAATATTATGATCATATGAAAGATAATAAAAAGTTATACTTTTAACATAATTTTGTTGAAAAATGTCGATATTGTTAAAAAAACAACATTAAAGGTAATTTTGTGGAAAGTTACATTTGATTGTCATTTCAACTTGACATTATTTCAATCAAACCTGTTTTGTTTGTCATTTGATCAATGTAATGAGCTTATTCGTTTTAGTTATTAGTAAAATTATTTATTTAATCAAATACTTAAATTTTGATTTTGCGCGCTAGATTCTGTGATGATCAAAATAAGAAAGCTAAATATAAATTTACTTTTTTTGCCTAAATTGAATGAAGTTAAGAAGTCACATTTATCCACTATACTTATTTGGGTCATAGTTATCGATAATTTCTTTACTCAATACGGGATGATCGATATCGTAATTGAAAAATAGGAAGTTGTTTAATAAATCTTAAAAGAAAAACTTTTATACGCAATATTACTGTCATAAAAAACGTAATGAGAATCATGGATTTTAATATATTTTGTAAAAGGTAAAGTTAGAATGAAAAGGTTTTAACATTTTGAATAAAAATACTAAATAGATTTTCAAAATAAGGATAATGGATAAAAATATGTTTTAATGTTTTATTGACATTTAGTGACTATAATAAAAAAAACTAGCCCTTATAATTAAAAAATGCATATATGCTCACTTTTCATTTAAAATAGCGTCCCGTTTGGTGACCCTATTTTTGGATTTATAAACCTTATGAGTCATTTTTTCATCAAATACTAAAATTTTGATTCCGCGCGTTGGATTTTGTTATGATCAAAATAAGAAAGGTTGGACTTACTTTTCTATTTGGGTCGAATGAAGTTACTGTAACTGAAAATTTTAGCTACTTTTTCTAATAAATGTTTCTTCATTTTTATAAATAAAATATATTTTAATTTTTTTCCCATAATTTAGTAGATTCAGCAAGTTTGGCGGTTTAAAAAAGAACTTCATCAATTTTGGTAGATTCGCCCAATTTATTTGTTACCAAACAGACTTTAAATAACATTTCAATTGAAAAAGATGTTCAATATATGATAGTATTGTCAATGTAAAATAGATCAATGGTTTTAAAATGTCACATGGTGCGATGAAGTAGCTCAATGAGAGTTATGCGGGGCATGAGCAATAAAATATATAGAGGCATAGAATTGATGGGGCCCAAGGTATAAAAACCTTCATTTTCTTCAAAGTGTTATAAATTGTCATTCTTGCTCTAATTTCCATAAAATATATATCAAAAATCATAATCTATTTACATATAAGAAAATAGATAGCTCAATTGTTAGCCCGCTAACAATTTAGCGGTAGAATTATCTTTCTCATATGTACCACTTTTATGTATAATAAGAATATAAGCCGGCTAACAATTGAGCGAGAGAAATTAGATAGGTCAGCTAACAATTGTGCGGAAAACTTTATCTCTCATATGTAGTACGTAGTACTTTTAAGTATAGGATGAGATTAAGCCGGCTAACACTTGAGTAGAATAATTTTCTCTCTCATATGTGATTTTAGGAATAAGACGATAAGCTTTCTAAAAATTGAGCGGGATAAATTTCTCTATCGTATGTAATGCTTTTAGATATTAGAAGATAAGCTTGCCAACAATTGAGTAGGGGAGTTGAGGGGCAAAAATTTTCTCTTTCATATGTAGTTATTTTAGGTACTAGACTAGACTAAAGATAAGCTTGCTAACAATTGAGCGGGAGAACTTTCTCTCATACATATAGTTCTGTTAAGTATAAGATAAGCCAGCTACCAATTTAGTGGTAGCTAGAATTATATTAACTCTCTCATACGTAGTGCTTCTAAGTATAAGATAATTCAACTAACAATATATTCACCGAGATAATTTTCTCTCATATATATGTAGTTCTTTTGAGTATAAGATAAGTCAGCTAAAAATTGGGCGGTAGAATTATCTCTCTCATACATAGTGCTTTTAGGTATAAGAAGATAAGTCGGCTACCAACTCAACGCGAGAAATTTTATCTTTCATATGTAGAGCTTTTAGCTATTTGGAGATAAGCCTGCTAATAATTGAGCGGGAAAACTTTCTTTCTCATATGTAGTTCTTTTAAGTATAAGATAATTCGGCTAACAATTGAGCGAAAGAGTTTTCTCTCTCATATGTTTGCTTTTAGTTATAGCTGTATAAGATAAGCCGGATAACAATTGAGCGGGAAAATGCTCTCTCTCATAAGTAGGTGTTTTAGTAATAAGAAGATAAGATTGCTAATAATTGATCGGGAGAATTTTTTCTATCATATGTATGTAGTGTTTTGAGGTATTAGAAGATAAACTTGCTAACAAATGACCAGTAGAATTGAGCAGGATATATTTATTTATCACTCATATACAGTGCTTTTAGGTATTATAAGTTAAACTTGCTAATAATTGAGCATAATAATTTTCTCTTTCATATGTAGTGCTTTTAGGTATAAAGAAGATAAACCAGTTAACAATTGAGCGGGGTAATTTTCCCTCTCATATGTAATAATTTTAGGCATAAGAAGATAAGCTTGGTAATAATTGAGCAGGAGAAATTTCTCTATTATATGTATTGCTTTTAGGTATTAGAAGATTAGAAGATTAACTTGCTAACAATTGAGCAACGGAATTGAGGGAGGTTATTTTCTCTCTCATATGTAGTGCTTATAGGCATTAGAAGATTAGAAGGTAAGTTTGCTAACAATTGAGCGGGATAGTTTTTTCTCTTATATGTAGTGCTTTAGGTATAGGAAGATAATCCGGCTAACAATTGAGCGAGAGAATTTTCATTCTCATATGTAGTGGTTTTTGGTATAAGAAGATAAATTTGCTAACAATTGAGCGGGAGAAATTTTTCTATCATATAGTGTTTTTTGGTATTACTACATAGAAGATAAGATTGCTAACAATTGAGCAATGGATTGAATGGAATAATTTTCTCTCTCATATGTAGTGATTTGAGGTAAGAAGATAAACTTGCTAATAATTGAGCGGGAGAAATTTTTCTATCATATAGTGCTTTTTTGATATTACTACGTAGAAGATAAGATTGCTAACAATTGAGCAATGGAATTGAATGGAATAATTTTCTCTCTCATATGTAGTGCTTTTAAGTATTAGAAGATAATGTTGCTAACAATTGAATGTAATAATTTTGTTTCACATATGTAATTCTCTCCCATATGTTAGCACTACTTTAAATAATGATTAGCAAGTTATTATTTAACTGATATTCATTAATATTAATATTTATTGTATTCACTTGAATTTTTTGTCATTCACTTAATGTACTTACTTTTTTAGAATTATATTTAATTTTAAAATTAATTCAATCATGAAAATTAATAGATAGCAAATTCTAATGAGTGGTGTCAATTAATTTTCCATAATATACTCTTCATTGAATATTTATTGTATGGCTTATACTTTATGATATTAGCTTATTGTACTCTTTCCCCCCTACAATGTAGAATACTAAAAAGTTGTTTTTATTATAATATTTAATTAGATCATGAGAAAAATATATGCACCGACTACTATTTCCCGTGCGTATGCACGGGTACTATACTAGTAGCTAATTACAAGTTTAAAACAGGGCAACAACAAAAACGAAACAAAAACGAAAAATGAGTCATAATCCATGGATAAGGCCACCACAGAAGCCGCCAAGAATGAGAATACATGCTTTGAAAATGGAAATGGTTAAACACACCTTCCTGGCCGCGGGGGTAGGTTGGCATGAGCTTCGTAAAGGAGCTCCTATATCAACAGCCTTTCTTGATGATGTGTTTTATATACTAAATAAATTGGAAGCTTAATCGGATGAAACAAAACTATTGACATTGAAAGATGGAAAGGAACTCTGTTGACTCCAACTCTGATCTGATTTTACATGTGGCTATTGACATTGGAGGTAATTGCAAACCTGCACCCCTTCTCAATGTTTCTTATTTCTACAAGAACAAGCGATTTTGTTTTTGTTCCTCGTATGATTTGACCTTTCGTTTTCTTTGAATTGAGAGTTTCTCTTTGAAGGGTACCCTAAACACAAGGGAGAATAGAAAGTAGGGACGCCTTTCTTTGACTCTGTATGCTTTGCTGCGAGATTGATGAGGTGTCTCGGGTTTGATTTTGAGAATCTTGTTGAATATAAAGAGGGTTGGTCTTGTTTTCTTTCTTCATATGGCTACTTTATGCTTACCGAGAACTACACCCTAGTCTCCAACTCGAGTGCTGCTAGCACTTTTTAGAACACCCATTGATTAAATGATAGTGATGAATTTCAATTATTAGCTTCTTTGATGCTTGTTTTTTCATTTTTACATCATTATCTTCCTCCGGATCACCCTCTTTTTGCAGGTTCTCTCATTAAGCTAGTTTACTTCTCAAATCACAGTACTTGCACTTTTGATACTGATGGGGTGGGCTCAACAAAGGAAATGCAAATCTCAAATGGTGACGTGAACTGCCATTTTTTACATGGCAGTCTCCAGTTTGTGAAGTTTGAGACAGTCAAGATTGATGACTGCATAAAATTTCTCTCATCAAAGCAAATTAACTTCAATGGTATGTGTTCTTGGTAATACACACACATGTGTGCATATAGATACATATTACATATTACATATATAGCACATTAAATCTTTGGTTAAATAATGATGCGTTTCTTAAATGATTCTGTTGGGAATGTATATGTAGTGTGAATTAATTTTAGAGAATTAGAGGTACTATCGATATCATGATGGCAATGATGATCCTTTATTGAAGCTCCGGCCAGTTTACTAGATGCAGTCTTCTACAAGTTTTGAGTTGGGAGTGTTAGACACTTGAATTACGAATCTGAAATGGTTACTTGCACCACGTGTATTATATGGAATGTATGAAATTGTATCGCCTTTTCACCAAGTGAGAAGAACCAACATTGTTGCGTTTTGCTTGAGTTAAACAGTTTTTTTGAGTAATGAGAAGTGATTTTTTATTTTTTGTAGTGATTAGCTTATGTCTTATTGTCTTCCACATCCTTATAGATATATGTTTTCTTTCGGGTCAAGTGAGTTTGATGTTCAAAGGTTAAGGCAATTACAGGTGGGAAATGTCAGGAGGCGCATGACAGAAACAAGAATGTCATCATTAAGGTAAATAATAATACACATCTTTGTATTATAATATGGAGAACTTTGCTTTAATGTTAGCTGAGAGCTCATGTATACGTAGTAATGCTTTTTTCTTTTAGGTTGAAACAATAAAAAATAAAAAGTGTTACTAAGAATATGCTCTGGTCAGTGATTTTAACTTCCTCAGGTTATTCTCGAAGGATTGCCTTTAAGGTTTGATCTTTTAGGGTGGAAATGTGGAATCATAATTTTTAGAACCCCTAACCATGTTGAACTTATAGATCCAAAATGGGGATTTTTCTCTCTCAATCTTGGACACATTTACTGTTGTTAACAAATTTCAAGATAAAAAAATAATAATGTATTGTTGTTTTGAAGGCCACTGGAGGAGGTGCATTCAAGTTTGCTAATTTATTCAAAGAAAAGCTTGGAATCACTCTGGACAAAGTGGATGAGATGGATTGTCTTGTTGCAGGAGCAAATTTTCTGCTTAAGGTGGGGGCAGTTTTATGTTATTTTACAGGATGTTAAAAAACGGTGTTACTTTTACTGTTCTTTACTCTAATAATGTTCAATTTCTACTATTCTTCCCTGCATCCCATGTTCCATTTCTACCTACAGAAAATTGCATATGACATTTGTGTCTACAATCTAGGTTTCCCAATGTTATTACCTTAATTGTAAGCTAAAATTCTTTTTTGACCACTACCAGGCAGTCCAGCATGAAGCTTTTACACACATGAGCAGTAAAAAAGAGTATGTGCAAATTGATCAAAATGATTTATATCCTTATCTGCTTGTCAATATTGGATCTGGTGTTAGCATGATAAAGGTACAGTCTTTCTTGCCTGCTTAAGCTAAAGATTGTAATCCGTGTCAGACATTAATCCCTGAAGGATTGAGTATACTTATTCCTGTACATCTGGGGGATTGACATTTAATTTCATGCCTTAGGTAGATCGCAACCACAAGTTTGAACGAGTAAGTGGGACTAGTGTTGGAGGTGGCACCTTTTGGGGCTTGGGAAAGCTTTTGACCCAGTGCAAGAGGTGAGCTGGCATTTTCCTTTTATTCGTATGGTTTTAGGCTTTTTTTCAACTGGTTTCTGTCTGAAAATAGAATCCTTTTGTGCAGTTTTGATGAGTTACTGGAATTGAGTCATGAAGGGAATAACAGGGTTGTAGACATGCTTGTCGGAGACATTTATGGAACAGATTATTCGAGGGTAAGGTCACGCTTCTTTTTATTAACTAGTTTTTTCACATAGCTAGTATTGGTAGTCTATATTATGTAAACACAAGAAATTCATTTGGATTTTTAGTAATAATGTTGATGGTTTTGTATTAAATGATGTATTTGCATAGAAGTATAGAATGATGGCTCTCTTACATGCCTCATCCTACTGTTCAAGGATCTAAATTGATTTGTACCTTGGGTTTTATGTTAACTCGCACTACAGAGTACAAAATCAGATATTATTAATCACCAAACTCAAAATCCAAGGAAACTGGCAGGCAATCTAAGTTTTTCAGTCAAAGCTACAGCCTACAGGCCTACAGCCTTGGCTTTTCTGCTAGCATCCCTCGATGACAAGGCCTTCAATTCTTGCACAATTTGGCCCATCTTGGTAAACTCATCAGCCAGAAAAATTACAGTTTATAGACATGTAGGATCTGAACGTGATGTTCACCTGCTTCCAAATCTTTATTCGCTCATCCAAAACTGGAACTCCTGTTGACCTTTTGTCCTTATATTTAGTATAAGATGAATCAAGCTCTCTACCCAAATCTTCTTCCCACCTTTTTTTTATGAGCCCGTTTGATCCCTCTCTTGAAGGCCTGCATTTCCACAAGTAGAGCTTTTATCATATTTCTTTGCAAGTCAGAATCACTTTATCCTCTAAAATTAATAGCAACGCGCCCTCCCCCCCCATAGCTGCCCCCAGATTTAGTAGTGCAGGACTCAACATTGAATTTGATGACATCCTCTGGGAGTATGTCCCATAGTCACATAGTTCGCGGGGCGCTTCGGAACGGGAACGAGGATCGGGAACGTGGTTCGCTAGGTCTACCGTATCCGGTTCGGAGGGGGTAGGTTCATTCCGGTACGCGTTCGGTACAGTGTACCACATGTTCGGCACGGTGTACCTTATATTTTGGTACTATAATAAAACCGAATTACAGATTTCATAACATTAATATTCATACCATTAATGTTTAAGTCATAACATTAAACAAAAACAGATTTAATAAGCATAAGTCATAACATTAAACAAAATAAAAAACATTAATATTCCAGAAATGAAAAACATTAATATTCCAGAAAATGAAGAGCCTGGTTCGAAATTCCGTACGCCTCTTAGTATAGGCGTCTTAAATGAAGCGCCAAGCCGCCAACCTGTACAAATACTACGGTATTTCAAATCTGCGCATTTGTTTTCAAATGATGATTCGTTTGGGGAAACGACCTTACAAACAGGAGAATTCTTGTTGAGAATTCTCCAACTCCCTGATTCTAACTATTGACAAACTTTTTCTGATATTCGCTATTGAAAATAAACCTTCTTTTAAATAGAGGAAGGTTGGTTACAGATTATAACTTCCATAAACATTAACTGCCAACTAAATGCCTAGTGCCTTGCTAGTTGCCTTTAGGAGTAACTACCCAATACCACATTAACCAACACCAATTACTGCAGACATAAATAATAATAATAGTATTAATAAAATACTACATTACTGCGTAATAATAATAATAATAATAATAATAATAATAATAATAATAATAATAATAATAATAATGTGCCTCCAGACTGCTCCGTGTATGAACTTTCAGCCTTTTACCTACTGGTATGTATCCATAATCAACTCCAAATAGGAAACAAAATAACAGAAATCCCAATTAACTTCAAATAGGAACCAAATAATAGAAATCCTAATAACTCCAAATATAAAGAATAAAATTAATTAAACGGCCCGCAACCAGCCCACAAAGGTGGGCTCAAGCCTGTCCCCGCCTTCAGTAAACCCACGAGGGCCTCTGCCTCTCTTCCTCCAAGCCAAGCTCCTGCTCTCTATCAGCAACACACACCATTCACCTTTCAAGCACTTATGAATGAGGCATTCGGGCCCTATTTTCATAAATTTGTCTCGGTCTTTTTCGAAGTTATATTAGTTTAGAGTCATACTTGGGTGGAGCATCTGCAACACATTAGAATTGTATTTGGATTGCTCGATACTCATGACTTGTACTCAAAAGGCAGAAATGTGTTTTTGGTGTGCTAAAGGTAGCTTATCTCGAACATCTGATTACTGGGAATTAGATGGCGGAAGATAATTCAAAAATTCAAGCGATCATTGATTAGCCTATACGTGTCACAACCATTGCTCTTTGGGGATTCCTTGGCCTAGCCATTTTTACCGACGCTTTATCCGGAACTTTGGAGTGCATGAAACTCCTTTAACTTCTCTCCTTTGTCGCAATGCATTTTAGATAGCATTTGAAAAGCTCAAAACTGCTATGTGCAGTTCATCAGTATTGTAACTAACTACCCAACTTGTCCAAGCCTTTTTTGATTGAGTGTGATGCATCAGGGGTGGATATTGGAGCAGTTCTACACCAAGAAAACCATCCCGTTGCCTTCTTCAGCATGTAGTGGTTGCCACCTTAAGTAGCCAGCATATAAGCAGGAAGTAATAAGATGAGTACAAGCAATAAGAAATTGGAGTCACTATCTTTGGAGTCGCTCTTTCGTGATTGGAACTGATCATTACAGCCTAAAATACTTGCTGCTACAAGGTCTTACAACCTCATCACAATAACATTGGATGAGTAAACTCGGGTTTTGATATTGAAGTCAAATACACACCTGGAAAATTGGAGACTGCCAGATGCTCTATCACACAGGGATGCAGATCAAGCAATCCTCGTGGCATTCACCGAGGAAGGATTTGAGAAAGGACTATTAGCACTCCGAGGAAGCCCAAATTGTTTTCAACAGAACAGCACAAGGGAATTATTCCAATTGGACAATCCGTGATGACGTGGTCTATTAAGGGGCAAAATTTTGACAATGGATTATATTCCTACCATCCTCGAAGCAGTCCATAATGCTACTCTTGAGTCTTGACATGATTCAAAAGACTGCATCGCCTCAAAAGAGAATTCTATTGTGAAGGTATGACATTTGGCTGATATTTCAATAACTGGTTTACCACAATCTTTTGATATTTCAAAAGACTTAGTCAGCGATTGTGCCATTTGCCAAAAAAAAAAGGTAAAACTTGCACACATCGGTTTACTACAATCCCTGCCAATCCCAGAACACATATGACTGATATTTCAATAACTTTATGTTATTTCTTTAAATTTCTACCTTCAGTAGCGGTTGTACTCCTTTCTTTATTTTCATAAAAATTTTTACTTTTGCTGCAAAAAAAAGAAAAAAAAAAACATTGGTAGGCTCATTCCTTTTTCTCTAATATTTCTAAATTACGCGGTTTGCCAGAAACAATAGTCAGTGGCAAAGATGCAGTTTTCACAAGCTTATTCTTGAAGGAACTCTTTAAGTTGTGTGACACACAATTGGCATTTCTTCATCTTATCACCCACAAGCAGACGGTCAAATAGAAGTCGTTAGTTGCACACTCAAAATGTAACTCCGATGTATGGTAGGAGATCACCCATGCAATGACACTTTTCTCCATTCGGCTTTGGGTACTTCCCTGTTCAAGCTCATCTATGGGCGCAAAGTGCCAAGGCTTGTTTTCTACGTATGAGGATATCCAAAGTAGAAGTAGCAAATGCTGCTTTGAAAGAAGCGATGCTTAGAGTCTTCTCATACGTTCTCAAGCAAGAATGTGTCGTGCTTATGACAATAACCACTAAGGCGTTACGCTCAACAAGGGACAATTGGTTTGGCTTCGCCCGCACCCATATCATCAATTCAGTGTAACCAAACAGCATCGGTGAAATTATCTCCACGGTATTTTGGGCCATTCCAGATCATCATCATCATTACCCCAATGCCGCAAAGGCTCCCATCTGGAAACAAATAAATCAAACAAATCTGGAAGACAAATAAATCAAACAAATCTAAGAGACAAGCCACAATCAGGGATTTGAGATCTTTGGAGATCTTAGATACCGTAGTATTATTTTCTGATTGCAATCTCTCAATTTTTTTTTAGTTTTTTTTTTAGTTTTTTTTTTTTTTTTTTTTAATTCTGAAACTCTAAGCCTATTTAAGGGCAAGTTGAATGGAGGGGAAAGAATGCACGTGTTCAGCAAGAAAAGTCTCAGGGAATTTGTGGAATTATCAATAAAACTATAAAAGTTCCAACTTATTGTGTTAAAAATTTGCACAAATGTATTTCCTAGTTTTCTCCCCAGACAGCAAACATAGTCAACTGTATAAAAAAACAAACATAGTCAACACCTCTAAAGCTCAGTCTTACCTCCCACTCACCCGAAGGCCCGTGATGAGATCTTGCACACAAGCGGCCAGTAACACAAGACCCCCTGCATTGCAACCACAAGTCGAAAGTAGAGGGGAAGACCAGAGTTGAATACCAAGTGACATAGCATTGGGAACATGCTACATGCTTGCTCAAAGTGAGTGTACCAGCAATGGACAGAAGCTGATTCTGCAAGATAATAGTCTCCTGCTGGTATGTATATATTCGTATAACCCTTGGAAAGAGGGTCTTCAACCTAGGTAGTGCATAGGTAAGTCCTGAGGCTTATTGGTTGGATCAGACTTTGTAGCCAAGACAAAAAAGATTCTATAAATGTTACTGCTCTGGCCAGATTTTCAAGAAATTGAAAATAGTGTCTACTGATCTCTCTTGATCTTTGGTAAACATGATTATATCATTTGCAAATCAAAGATGGGAAGCAATTATTGGGCCTCCATACTTGTACAGCTTGTTTTTCGTCTCAAACAGACCCTATGCCTCTCTAGTCAAAGCTTTTGCCATAAGGATAATTAGTTAAATGATTTGCAGATTTTTCGTTAGGATTTGATTAATTTTTGTGTAAGGTGGTGACTCTTAGTTTCTTCTTCCTATTGCTATAATGCATGATATGAACGACAATATGGACCAACATAAGTTTTTTCCCCCTGTTTTACTGAACATTCCTGACAGATAGGACTTGCATCAACGGCCATTGCTTCTAGCTTTGGAAAGGCGATCTCAGAAAACAAAGAACTGAATGACTACAGACCTGAAGATATTTCCCGCTCATTGTTACGGATGATCTCCAATAATGTTGCACAGGTTGGTAATAATACCCTTTTGCATCATTTCTTAACATGGGTAGTGCTTTTTTAGCAAGTCTATATCTTAAATTATTGAAGCTGCTAGAGTCACCAAGGTTACTTAAATTGTAATTATGGACTGTCAGTTGAATGTTTTGAAAATTGGATCATTTAGTCGAATATTTTTTCATAAGATTCTATGAAAATCATATTAAGTACCAAGAAATTGAAAGTATATGAAAAATTTACATATCAATAAGAATCAGTTGAAGTGTCAAACAATAACTCTTGAACAAAGGTTACATACTAATTCAGTGCAGGACCACTTGAGTAATTGACTGACCTTGTTTTTGAAGATAACCATTTGACTGACTTGAGCAGTACATATGTAATGTATTTGATAACAAAGCCACTCATCAAAGTCCTTTTCTGTACACAAAAATTTTCCTAACTCTTTTCCTTCAAGTAGTTTTACGTATTCGCTTCATTTCCTTTGAAGTATATATGTGAGGACTTTTCTTGGTAGTCTCACACTCTCACCTGATATTGCTATCACTGAGAACCAAACAGATGGCTGGGTTGACCGAGAATACATTTTGGATGAGGGATTTTTAGTGGAAGAAAAATACTTCTACTTCAAAAAGAAGTGTTTGGCAGGAAAATAAATAAAAAGTACTTTTAATTGAAAAAAACACTTGTCCCCTAAGTTAGCTCAACGAGATCTTAACTGATACTCGTACTTAAAAGTATTTGTAATGCTTAACCAAGAAAGTAGCAGATTAATGCCTTTAAAAAATGCACTTTAATTGAGTGCTTAAATGAGAAAGCACGTGTGAAGAATAACGACAAAACACGTTACCATAAGCTATACCAAAAAGTTCTAATGTTTATACAATTCGTTGGTTTATTAACTAGTTTTTATTTCAAATATTTCTGTCTAATGAGAGTGCGATTTTTTATAGATAGGGTGCTGTATATTAAAAAATTAGTCTGTACTATTTGGACATTTGACGTGCAGGATGAATAAAATAGTTGGCACAGTCTGATGATTCATAGAGAGAATGCAAGATGTAAAATGAATATGGAACTTGAGCAAGATTATCTTTGGCGTTTCAGCTTCTAGCTAGTTTTCAGAATTTGCAGTGATTCTCAAGATTCTTCAACTCGTAAAATATTAAGACATTATAGTTACGATGTTTTTACTTGGACTGTAATTTGTCCCAGACCAGTCCAGTTCAGACCAGACTTGGATAGTTATAAAAATACAAAGAAACCAGACCAGACCAGCAAATTACAGTCCAAGTAAAAACATCCTTACAGACCAAAATGGACTCATCTTAATAGAATAATACAGAATCATAATAGAATTGTTAGTTTTGTAAACTAATCTCTACATGAATTTGATAAACAATTACACCCTTCTTTGAATTCCTCTGATTCATCTTCTTTTATCCAGATTGCTTACTTGAATGCATTGCGTTTTGGGCTCAAGCGGATATTTTTTGGAGGATTTTTTATACGTGGTCATGCTTACACAATGGATACTATTTCCGAGGGAGTTCACTTTTGGTATTTTCTATATCAGTATTGATTGTGCCTACCCATTACTTGCTAAGCAATTAACATAATCACATATATCATGACATCCCTTCATGAACACCTTTGTTACCTGCTTCTGCTCAGAGATGTCTTGAGATACTCCTCCTTTCAATCAAAACTCATGTTGTACTACTGTTTTTATATTATTTCAAACCTTTACCCCACTTGTTTTGTACATCAAACTGCCTTATCTGTCCAATCATAATATCATATACACCATTTTTTGTCAAATCAAACAGCCTTTCTAATCCAATCCTGTACATCGCCATTGTCATAAAAAACATTCTTCCTATTTTCCACTTCATTTACTTTTTTTATCACACAACAAAAAAACGATGCATGGATATTGTTTCGCCAAATTTGTTGAATCACTATGTTCACATTTTCTTGAGAATCCTTTTGGGTGAGTTAGGCCAAAAATTAATACATTTCACCATTATATTGAGTGAGGCATGATTTGGTGTTTAGGTTAGGGTGCTATTTGCACCAAAGTAGTGACTCGTTATAAGCAATACCCTTTCATGTGTACATTTATTGGGGTCAAATAATGATGTTGCTCTCCATGTACAGGTCAAAGGGTGAGGCGAAGGCCTTGTTTTTTAGGCACGAAGGATTTCTCGGCGCATTAGGTGCTCTTATGAACCATGGAAGCAAAGATATTGCTGACTTGCTATCCCTTCGTTTCACACAAGAACTTCCTACAAGCGTAGGTGGCACTGAAGACTCGCTTCATAGCTCAACACTTTTTAGTGTCAATGAAAATTGAATTAGAATGCAGATTGGTATATTTTACAGCTCGTTAGATCTATCGAAGTTTAGGTGTATTGGCGTGCTTATGGGTAAAAAGGTTATTTGAAAGGTGATTATTATTAGCCTCTGAATAATTCCTGCCTATGTGGTAAATTGAAAGAAAAAAACGTTGGGCAGTTATAATTAGGTGCGGACACTATCCAGTTGTGGTTAGAGGTTGACTGATTCCCTGCCTGGCGTGGACACTAAATGGTACAGTGACTAGTACAGCAGACACTAAGGGTATTGTATGGGTGTACACAGTCCTGGTTTGGGCCGGTTCTGATCTCAGACTGGCCTGTTATGGAGGCCCAGGGCCTCCATTTCTAGTTCCGGGGCATCCGGGCCGGTTGTCAACATTCGGTCCCAGTCTGGTACTGGGTTTTTAATTTTATTATACATATTTTTAAACTCCCTATCCCCATCTCCCCTTCCTCATTCTTGTTCATCTTTTAAACGAACCTCCAAGCATTATAAAATGCATTCTAATGGTTTTGATTAAAAAAAAAGAAATTAAATAGGTCAAGACCGGATTGGCTGGTCCCGATCCCATGAAAATAGGACCTGGACTGCGGCCTCTTTCGGTCTTTCCCACCACCCTGATCTCCGTCCCGGCCACTTGTTGAAATTGTATTAGTGTACAAATTTGCCATTTAAGGAAATTGAACCTTCACTTTGGATATTTTTTACGTAGTTCATTGCGAGAGTTTACTACTAATGTTTTTATTCATTAAATAGATATACTCATGAGATGTTAGAATGCCATCGAAACTTGTCAAACTGGTATATTACACCTTAGACTACCCAACATCTATGATGTGGTTTCCAATTTCGCAAAAAAAGATCGAGTTGCTAACCAGCTGGGGCGGATCTAGGAATATGAGATGCCATGGGCTGAATAGGAATTATACTAGGTTTAAATATTGGCGGGTGAGCTAGATGTTAAAAGTGAAAAAATTTTACACTAAAAAAATTGAAAAAATTCTAAGTTGCATAGGGTTTCAGTCTACCATAGCCCGTACATAGATCCTTCCCTGCAAACCAGGGACGGACGACGGAGGCAGTGTATTAGCTTGGCGCTTCTGCCCCCCATCCAAAATTTTCTAGGCACTACCTCCATCCCTAATAAAATTTCCAAATAGGTTGGGCACACAGTTTAAAATAGTGGGTATTGTGTGATGGAGAGTTGTGCAGAGGAGAGAGAAATGTGTAAGAAATGTTGTGAATTACAAATTCTTTACCCAAAAGGGAAAGTAAAAGTTTTAATTGAGACGGATGAAAAAGGAAAGTTGGAAGTTTATTTAGGGACGAAGACAGTATTATACTATACTCGGTATTAAAAATCTGCCCCTCCATCTTATTATCAAATAGACTCCAAATATCTTCCCGGTTATACTCACCAAATTTCAGCTAAAAGTTCTACTGGGAAGACACTTAAATATATTTAATGATACACTATCACCAATTTAATGCTCATGATATAGTTGATCCTAAAAACTTTCCCTGCATCCTCATCATTGTGAAACGTAATGTCTACTCCATTTATGAGTTTCTCTCTCCCTGAATATCACAGCTTAAAATTTTCCGGATTAATATCACGTGCTTTCTCTTCAACCCACTTAGTTTTTGCACACACATAACACTGATATCCCTTCTCATAACCTCAACTACCTCAGACGATCTTTCCGTGAGAGACCCAGCATTCCATGTTCCAAAGCGCAATCTAGCACCCCACCTTCTATTCTTAACACCACATCGCCCCCATCACGCTCTTGCATATTTGACACCATCCTCGAGCAATGGGGGTGGCGCGCCACTTTCGGATGACAACCTAGCAATCTTAACATTTTTATCCTTACACCCAGGCTTACAGAGTGTAGAACGCTCTTGCATATTTGAAACCACCCGCACATGGAGGGATGATGTGTCGCTTACGGGCGATGACCTACCTGTAGCTAGAGAACCAAGTCTGTGAATATATAGACTATTGGATACTAATCGTAAACCATGATCAATTTGATCATACAACATACTATATACAATCTTCTAAAAGGCGCTATGCGCTAGTCGGGCGCCAGCCTAACACCTAGGGCCTAGGCAGAAAAATTATAGTTTTATCAATATTTTTGCACATTTTTTTTTGCATAAATATGCTTAGTAATGTTGTGTTTGTATGTGTAAAAAATATGTATACACACATGCATGAATGATAGAGTTGTCATATTTATTAATTTATTATACCTACTCACATAACTTTATATGCAATACTCCCTCCGCCCCCTATAATTGTCCATTTTTTTCATTTTTGGATGTCCCCCTATTATTGTTCCATACCATATTTGGTAACAGTTTTGGGGCCCTAATTCATTCTTACTATATTCTCACTTTATCAACTCATTATCAACCACATAATTCTACTTTTCTTAAAAACCACATAACTTTCTTCCGTCCCAATATTAGGGGGACGAAGATAGTAAATATTATTAAATAATAATAACACTTAAGAATGTGTGTAAACATGTATAGTTTTAATATTTATCTACAACTAGTAGCTTTCTTTATATGTGTTGTTAAAGTTAAAAGTACATGTGTGTGTGTCTTGGAATACTAAAATAAAAAATCAAAATAAATTGTTTGACGAATCTAGATGCCTAGCTAGGCAGCCGATTAAGTGCTCTGGGCGGGCAATTAGGCGCCCAAGGCGGCTGACTAATTCACCTAGGCGTCAAATCAACTAGTCAGACTTAGGGCCGTGTTTAGTAGGCCTAGACTCGGGCCGGGCGGCCCGCCCCGCAACCGGCCCGAACCGCCGGCCCGGCCAGGGACCGGTCCGGGTAGGCCCGACCCGCTAGGGTTCCGGTCCGGGCTCGGACCCCTCAAAAGGTGAACCGGCCCGGCAGGTTCGGGCCCGATCCAGGCCAATTTATTTTATTTTTCTTTTTTTTTGAATTTTTTTTAAGTTTTTGGGTTGGACTGGGTATTTTGGGCCATTTGAGGTGGTTTGGGGGTGAGGAGAAGAGTTGGGGTTAATTAGGAAAAGCCAAAAAAAATATAAATTGAATCGGGGCCCGGCCCGGCCTGACCCGGGCCTGGGGGTTACCCGGACCGGTTCCGGGCCTCCCCTTTCATGAACCGAGGCCCGGCCGGGCCCAGGCCCGAACCGGGCTGAGTCCACCCCTAGTGTTTAGAAAGAGGCAGGCCTGAGAGTACTCCTGAACGTAATAATATATAGACACTAGTAAAATGAGGCCTTATTTTTTGGGGGCCTGAGGCAAAGTCTCAGCAGCCTCCAAGGCTCCACGGGCCTGGTCGGAGTGCCTAGACTAAAATCGGGGCACTCGGCCACTGCCTAGCTCCTAAGCGGGGACTAGTCGGGCGTGTAGAGTGATTTTTAGAATAATGACTATATACATTATAATCAAGCCTTCAATATTTAATTTAACAATACGATTAATTATTACTATTGTTCTAGCTATAAAACTTCATATAGTTGTGCGATTACCCAATTTTTTATGTAGTTTCATAGATTATCTTCTCATTGCTTAAACAAAATGCAGTTTGTTAATATTACATAAATTAATTTACATACAACTATAAAGTAGCGTTTCTCTATTTTAGTACATACCTTGTATCGCTGAAGGTAATTCAACAAAAAAACATCATCGAGAATATCGTTTACACAAATAAATATTATGAATGTACCAGTGACATAGGGCATGGAAAAGAAAAGAAATCTATATTTGGCGTGGAGGTATGATGATCTTTGTGCCTTGATGATTCAATATGATTAATGATATAAAATTAAGACTCCCTTAAAGATACGATAGCAACGACAACTTACTCAAAAAAAAAAAATTGGAGTCGGCTATGAAGAACTCAAGGAAAACGATAGGATGACCAAAGTGCTTAGGGTCATTGATGAACGGACTGAGATGCGACAAGCGCTGTGATATTTTGAGCATGCCTTGGAGCTGAGGAAATTCTATTTCGAGATTGGAGACAAAGATAAATAAGAGCTACAACGCAATGTCGCAATTGATCTGATCCCAAAGGGGAAGAATGTTGGAGAATATTTTTATGATATTGATCAATTTATTACGAATTTCTCTCTAATAATTTATCATTCCATTTATAGTGTGTTTAGTACATTAGTAAATATCCTAAAATAGAATAATCAGGCCCCCCCATATATGTTTGGGTCCATGATTTAATTTAGACTAGACATGCACAGATACATAAGTATACATTTACTTCTTTAGATATCTGCGCACAAAAAGAGTGACAGTTGCAGAGCAAATCCTTCTGAGAGTTTCCTCCTGAAAGCAGAGCGATTTCATCGTGTAAAACCTTCATACCATTATCAATAAAATATGTTTTTGTTTCTCTTATTAACTGTGACTGCATCCATGAAATCAGATAGCTGAAATCTGGGATTAGGAGTGACTCTAGACGTAAAATGCCATCTCAAAATCTCATACACCTACAAAGCTAGGAAGAATGCAACTCAAATTTATTTAAACCTGAAAATACTTGTACCAAAAGAATTATTTAAACAAGAAAAATACAGAATATCAGATAATCACCAAACATGATTCTTAAATTTTATTATGAATTTTCTTACATACACTATAGTGAGTCCATTGCACCCATTTATACACAATGGAGAGGGAAAAGATCTAGGAAAATGCTTAGTGTACTTGAGTTGTACACAAAACCCCCTAGTTGTCCGAGTAGATATACAATTTGTTTAAAAAAGGACAATACTTGATGTCAAATTGTCTGTGTACATAGGCAATGTACACATTTGTGTACAACTTGTGTACACCAAGAATGGTACAAAGATCTAATCTATTTTAATTTAGGAGTGGGACAATACGTAGTACCCGGGGGGGGGGGGGGGGGGGGGGGGGTGAAATGAAAAAAAAGCAATAAACATTAAATAATGTAGTAGTATTCATTTGAAACATTCAAAAACACATAACTAAATGTCTTGACTCTTGAGAGTTAAAATTTAAAACGTCGCTCTTGCATGTCACGAAAATCATCTATAAAAGAGTTCACACTATTTTTATTTGCAATTTGCTTCTCAATGTACACCAACAAACAATCGGTAAGAATGTAAGATATATTCATCTTCCATCTTGTTTTGAAGGGTAGTCTTCATTATGCTCATAGCAGAAAAAGATCGCTCCGTAGTACTCTACTCGTTTAATATCCGGACTCTAAAATAAGATTCTATAATTAAATTTTTACATGTTAAAATAAACACTAAAGAGCCCTATTCAAGAATTCCTTAAATACACATTCATAATTTGCATTAACTTAATTCCTTCGTTTTTGCTCATAAAATAGTTCATTATTATGATTTCTAAATTATAACATCTTAACTCTTGTTTACAAATCAACCATTTAAATAATAAATACTATTTCTTTATTAAGTATTCACTAAATTTCGAATTAATATCTCTAAATGATAACACAAATTTGCATTAACTTAATTTCTTCGTTTTGGCTAATAAATACTACAGAGTATTTCTTTCAATTTAAATGATTTCAATAGCCAAAAGGGCTTTAAGCCCAGCCGGCCAGCCGTAACTCCCGTAAGGTTGAATCGTTAATGTTTGGCTGCAGTTATGGTGCAAGGATAAGAGCTAATTACCTATATATTGGAGTATTGGAGTAATACTAAAGTTAATTGCACAAATAGGAGTGTCCAACGAAGGAAGGTTTCGTAGGAGTAAATTCAACATGATTAGACAAAAATAACCCTGTTTCATATTTTCTAATTTTAAAAATGTAAAATTAAAAATTGTTGCAACCGTAAACATTCAGCTGCTAGCTGCAGCACTCATGCCACCCTCGCCCATATACTTACAGCCGCTGCCCTCGCCGGAAAGGTCTGCCGCCGCATACGACGGCGGCACGGCGGCACCGCCAGTCGGCGCCCCCAGATAGTTCAACCATCCATCGCTGCCCAGACCAGCATCACCATCTGTCGCTGCCCTAACCAGTTCCACTATCCGCCACTGTCAGTGTTGATTCTGGGGCCACACTCCACCTCCGAGTCAAAACTCCAGCTACATAAATCTTCCATTAAGTTGGAATGTTTTGCTTTGTAGATTAATTTCAACTCTACCATCAAATGATATACAAACCTGCCATAAAGATGGCAGATTTATCTTGGAATATTAACACAAAACTGCCATAAATTTGGCAAAAATATAGTCAATAACCAAATATTAATGCAATCTGAAATTAGAAGCACAAAGCTAATAGCAAAAACTAAAAAACTGTCGGTTAACACTAAAGTTTTTTTGCCATAGTAGATTGTCAGAATACACATTTCTGCCATAAACTTGGCAAAATGTGAAGTCATCTTCCAAAACTTTGGAAAAACGATTTTTTTAAAAAACTAAGAAATCAGAAATCAGAACGGCGAAATAGAAGGCCAAACACTAACAAAATTAATGTCAAATCCCAGAAAAATGGAAGAGTAGAAGGAAAATTAGAAAAAATCAATATCAATTTCAGAAAATTAGAAGAATGAGGGAGGAGGAGGATGAGGAAGAAGACGAGAAGAAGAAGAGGAGGAGGAAGAAGAAGAAGGAGATGAAGAAGAAACCTGGCAGCGATCCAAAGAGAAATCGATGAAGTAAATCTGGTGCGCAGAGAGAACGAACAATCTGTTGCGGCGCAAGGCAGGCAAGGACTTCGGCAGCGATGATGGTGCACAAGGATTTCGGCAGCGATGGCGTGAAAGGAGTACCATGGCGATGAATTGTGCGCAGGAACGATCCATCTATGCGCAAGAGAGAGAAGCGGAATGAATCAGGGGCAAATGGGGAATGTAATTTAACGTATGTATACAATTGGAGTAAGATACTCCTATTTAGGGTTAAAAAAATACACACTCCTATTTAGGAATTTCCCATATGTTTTACTCCTATATGAGGCAGTTTCTCTAAGGATAATAGTCAAAAATAAAATGTGATGGGCGGGGGCAAAAATTAAACAATTAATACTACTATTAAAAAAATGGTGGGCGGCGCGGGGGGGGGGGGGGGGGGGGCAACCGTATAAAACTAGTGCTTGCTGTAGTTCTGTCGTTGTATAAAACTGCAACCGTCCCATTATTATTAATAAAAATAAAACGGTTATTCCCTGCCCCTAACCTACCCGTTACTTCACTTACTTGGTCAATAAGATTTTCCCCATTTTGACCGGAACGGCAAATATTATAAGCATAATATTACGTTTAATGTTTCATAGTGGAATAGTGATTTGCATATGTATAGGATTAGATAATCTACTAATTTACTAAAGAGAAGATTTGTCACTTTGAAGATGGTTCAACATCATCAAAAACTAAAGGAAAAAGGAAAAAGGGAAAAGGCGCATCATGTCAAGGAGAAAATTTACTTTCCAGATTAGATGATCCTAATTAGAATAACAAATTCTAATGAATCTGTGATTCTGTGAAAACTCCATTGTTTGGGCGATGAATGACAAAGGTATATGTTTATTTAATTACATAATTACTAAAATTACTCGATAAACTTTGCCTTTTGTTTATCTTTTGCCAATATGAATCCATTCTAGGAAAATCATGTGCTCAAGAAAAATCATGTGAACAAACCATAATTGAATTGTTGTGGTCCAGAAAAGAAAACTGCAGGGCAAAAGAAGCCATTTCAAATTACAATAGAATTTAAAAAACGCCAACAGAAAACCAAGGTATGAAAAAACGAGTTAAGAATTATAGTTTACATTTCTGAATTTATTTACTTGTTAACTTTTTTTTATTTCAGGTGTTGATGGTGTGTGCTCTTTGCTCTCAACTATGGAGGATTGGAGGTTGACACTCACTTTGGCAGCAAGAACATATTAGTAGTTTTGGCTTTTAAGTTCATGAACTTTTTGAACCTTTGTTTGAGTTGTAATTGCTATGATACATATGTATGAATGGATGACAGGGTTTTTTTTTTGGATTTTTTTAAAGACCTAGTTATTAGATAAAGTAAAAAATGTTCGACAGTTCGTGTATTCTTGCAGGTGATCACTGTAATCAAGTTATTAATAGCAGGTGCAATAGTTGTAAATAAATGTCGGAATTGGGAACACTTAAAGATGACTTACGAGAGATACGAGTGGTCCTATTTGAACTTAAACTGTGACAATTTGTATAAAAATTGTGGAAAAATAATAATAAAATAATGCAGTTTATTGAAAAATGTTGCTCCAAGTGTTGCAATATATCAAAGTATTGCATTTGCATATAAATGTGTTGCTTTAGTTTTTGTGGAGAGTGATGTTGCCTTAGCCAAACAAATTGCAACATATTTTAGTTTGTTGCCATAGCGATCTATGGCAACGGCCAAAATTTCAACACTTTAAAAATTGGAAATGTGTTGCCATAGATTCCTAAGGCAACACATTTGGGTGTAATGCAACATTTTTTAAGTGTTGCCTTAAGCCATTTATAGTGTAGTGAAATCTGGTGCGCAAAGAGAACGAACGATCTGTTGCGGCGCAAGGCAGGCAAGGATTTCGACAGCGATGATGCTGCGCAAGGATTTCGGCAGCGATGGCGTGAAAGGAGTACCATGGCAATGAATTGTGCGCAGGAACGATCCATCTATGTGCAAGAGAGAGAAGCAGACCGGGAATGAATCAGGGGCAAATGGGGAATGTAATTTAACGTATGTATACAATAGGAGTAAGATACTCCTATTTAGGGTAAAAAAAATACACACTCCTATCTAGGAATTTCCCATATGTTTTACTCCTATATGAGGCAGTTTCTCTAAGGATAATAGTCAAAAATAAAATGTGATGGGGGGGGGGCAAAAATTAAACAATTAATACTACTTTTAAAAAAATGGTGGGTGGCGGGGGTGGGGGGGACGTATAAAAGTAGTGCTTGTTGTAGTTCCGTCCTTGTATAAAACTGCAACCGTCCCATTATTAATAAATATAAAACGGTTATTCCCTGCCCCTAACCTACCCGTTACTTCACTTACTTGGTCAATAAGATTTTCCCCATTTTGACCGGAATGGCCCGTGGGGTACCCATCTGACCAATAAAAGTTGTCATTAGTCCTAGATACATACGTAGTACTTCGTGTATAGATAAAATAATTAACATACTTCCTATATAGATAAAATAATTAACTTATTTAATAGTCAATTACGGAGTATTTATTTATGGTTGGTACAAAAGTGTTATGCACTTATAAACGTACATATCGTAAGAAGATAATTAAAGAAATCCTCCGGATCCTTAATTACTTTCAATTGAGCCTAGAAAACAATTGAATAAAGAAAAAAATCACGAATATATAGAAAATCAAGCTCGGCCATTGATTAAAAACAACTCGATCCGTATAAATCATGTATAAATATGCATGGAATAATTCCATGTTCCTTTCAAACGAGAAAGCTATTAATTAATAGCTTCCCCATCATCAAAATTCAAAAAATAAAATAAAATAAGACCATTTTGATCGAGAAAGAAATTAATAATAAAATCAACCGGAAAATTAAATATGGCTTCATCAAGAAAGCTGCAGATTTCTTTCTCATCAATGGCCTTGGTAATGATAATAATATGTGGTGCATGGCAGGAAGCGGGCGCGGCGGGAGATGACATTAATTCTAACTCTTCGTCATTATTCTGCGACGGGTTGCCGGCCGGCAGCGCCCCCTTCTGCAGGGAGGTTCTGGAGGGCGAGACGGAGTGGGAGAAGGCGATCGTGAAGATGATAGGGGCGACGGTGAAGAAGGTGAAGGCGGCGGAGCCAGCGGCAGCGGGGATCGGAGGGAGGCTGCCGGCGAGCATCCCGGAGGCGGACAGGGCGAACATCGACGAGAAGTGCAAGAGCGGGTTCGAGTACGCGCTGCACAACCTGCGGCGGGCGATGAAGAGGATCCGCGGCGGCGTGTACGCGCGGACGGACAACGTGGTGTACTCGGCGTGGGCGGGCATCTACGAGTGCAGCGGCGCCCTCAACCACTTCAAGGTGGACATGAGCGAGGAGCCCTTCAAGGTCCAGAATCACGCGGAGAAGGCCGTCGCCGCTTGCCACGGAGCGGTTTCCAAGGCCTTGGATGCCGGAGGCTTCAACAATCCACCACTTGAAAACTAATCCTTTCATTTGTACTGTATGTATTTGCATAATGCATGGCGGCGCGCGCAACACATACATATGTCGTACGTACGATATTAATTAATCAATCAATTAAAGTGGATCATATCCATATCCATGCATAAATTTTGTGAGACTAATTGAATTCAATGGATGTTTAACCATTGATCTCCAAAGTCTCCAAATAATATTAACAACAATTACTAGTACGATTAAGTGCATGGAAGAATCCAAGGCTCGGAATTTGCTACCATATGCTATCGTATAGTAAGTACTACGTATGTATATGGGTATGTGAGTATGTCATGAAATCAATCATTTGATGTATAATAATAATGGAATACATAATAATAATATAATAAGCGATTTTTTTCTTTTCTTTTTATATGCTTCCAAGTAAAAATAGAAATTGAAACATATCTTTCTTTCTTCTTCTTTTTCAAAACAAAAACAATTTTATTCATGATAAAATAAAATTACAATGCTAGAAGACACAAAAAAAAAGGAGAAATACATTAAAAAAATAAGGAAATGTAAAGACAAGACTAGACCCAAGGAAAATATGTGGATTGTGATATGGTCGTCATGCTATGACATCTTTTATTCTTCTAAGATTTTCTGTAGATTTTCAGTTGGGTGTTCAGGTTTTCCGTTGGCAAACAGTTTTCAGAGGTGACCAACTTTGATTTACGGCAAATCGTTCTATTGAATTTAGACTTCTTAATTTCTTCCGAATTTGATAGAGGGGGACGACGATCGCTTTTTGTTGCATGTCCAAGAAAATCATCTGAATAGAAAGAGTCATCTGAATAAGGGATGTTTTAAACATTCACAATAAATTTAAAAACTTACACTAAATGGGAAAGGGGAGGGCGGCAAGTTGAGCGGCATGAGGAATGATCATGACATGACAAGTCGTTTAGCAGCCTCCATTTGAACTGAGATGTTTCCGGGTAGAATTTTTTTGTGTAATTTTGTGCTCATTTTTTCATGAAGTATATATTATATCCTTTAAACATCACCATGAAATTCACTTGGAAAATGAGTTAAATAAATTATTGAAAGACATTATGCTAAAGTATTTATTAAAAAACATAGCGTTTTTCAATATTTTATTTAATTCACTCTTCAATTGAGTCTTAAGATGAAACTTTGTGCACATAATCTACAATTGATGAAGAACGTGCGCACAAAATTTCATCAAAAAATCAAACCAAAAGCAGCTCAAATGAAGGCGGTGGGGCGACATTTCTAGCTTAGCTGACCTAACAAGAACATATACAATAGTGGGGAAGAGTTCAAATAAAAAGATGTGCTCCCGTGCAAAGTGCGAACAGTTACACGTTTTCCTCACCGTGTTGCACTTTTGCATGCTTCTGTTGCACTTTTTTCAGTGGCAAAAAATTTTGATTTATTTACGAAACTATCACCACGTTTTTTTTAATCAAATTTAGTACATTTTTGGCTCATTTTGAGTCATTTTGAGAATACCTCTTTGTATTCGAATGCTCACTGCGAGAGTGTATACTGTATTTATTTATAAAAAAAGAGTTTTTTCCCGGAATAATGCTAATTAAATAATTAATTCCTGAAATACTGCCGGGTTAAGAATAATTCCCAAAATACTGCTGGGTTAACCACGGTTAAGAAAAGCCGCCACTTGGAGTGGCGGCTCTTGTACTGCTTCACAAAAGCCGCCACTTGGAGTGGCGGCTCTTCTATTCCTTCACAATAGCCGCCACTCGGACTGGCGGCTCATTTAGTCAGAAATTTATACCTCATCTTCAATCGACGAACGAAGCCGCTGCAACCAACGACGAACGAAACCTCTGCAACCAACGACCTCCCTGCGCGACTCGTCCAAACGCGGCTCGAATCAACGGGAAAAGAGGCGCTGTGTTCCGGAATCGTTTGTGCTCCCTTCAACCGTCAACAACAGTTTGAATCGAGGTATTTCATCTTCTTTGCTAAACCTAGGTTCTTTCCTTAATTTTAGCTTGAAATTGTTCGAAATTGGTGTTGTATTTCTCGAAATTTCAGTTTTTTTCTGGTTTATTAATACTGGTAACATTGATTGAGACACAAAATATACTTCTTTTGTTCCAATTTTTCTTGAAGTACATTGGGTGCATGATTGCTTTCGGATAACCTTTAAAAAATTTGTGGATGTCAATTTGTTGCTTCAATGGGAATCAGACTGGTATTCAGGCGTAGACAATCCGAAGAAGATCGGGCGTAGACTTATCAGGATATTAAGACCTTATAATATTTGAATAAAAACATAGGAGTATCAAATGTTAATAGGATTTTAAAAAAACCACATGGATTTTTAGCTATTTATAGCTAAAAAACAATTCTAGAAAGGGAATTGTAGCTAACTGTAAGGTTAGTTAAACTTTACAGTTAGGTTGACAACTTGCATCTTATTATAGCTTTATAACAGTTTATAGCTGAAGTATATAATTAACAGTATATAAAAGTTAGCTGAAGTTAGCAATTCAGTTTAGTTTATAATATTATAAAGTAGTTATTAGTAGCAGTTATGATAAACAGTATAAAAATTTTATAAATGAAGTTTTAAATTACTGTATGTTACTTACTTTATGTTCACTGTTCATACTTCATAGCTAATATACATGTATGTTACTGTATAGACAACTGTATGTTAGCAGTTACTTATGAAGTAACTGTATTAAGTTTTAAATTATTGTATGTTACTTACTTACTTTATGTTCACTGTATGTTCCATGTTCATACTTTTTTTGGAATGATTTTTTTCGTAGAATATGTCTCCAAACTTCCCCATTGTTTGTCATTGGGGAGGAAATATTATCGATGAGTCAAACGAAATTCATTATGAAGGGGGTAGTCGAAAGATAATTGTTGTTTCCCGTGGGGTGGATGTGGCTGAATTAATGAATAAAATTTATACCGCCACATCCATCAATCATATGAACAAGTTGATTTTGAAGGTTAAATATCCCATTCATGGTGGATCATACATGTTGATGCCTCTTGCTGACGAGGAAGCCGTTATGGGAATGTGGACTTTAATCGCGAATGTTGATATGCATACCATGGAGATATATGTAGAAGAAGCAACTGTGGTGCCCATACAACCTGACAACGCGTCATTATCTTGCCCATCCACAAGTGTTCCAGTTGTGATGAATATGGTTACACAGGAGAATGGAAGATACGTGAACAATGATGCAACGTTTCTGGATTCACAGTTCACTGACGACGATGCAGATGAAAATGTGAACCATGACACACTAACAGATTCAGATGAAGATGGTAGTGATCTCGTAAGTGGCAATGCTCCATCCAGCCACTACACTAAAGTTTATGAGCTCCCTGCGGGATTTGATGAATCATGGAAGGGTTCTACAACTTCTAGCCGCTTCTCTGCAGATGGTGAATTCGAGGTTGGGCAAGAGTTTGATGATAAGAAACAACTGATCAACATGGTTAGAGCGTACTCTGTAAAGAGGAACCAATTTTTCTCAGTTGTAGAGTCTGACAAACACAAATGGGTGGCAGAGTGTAAGAGGAGAAAAGAATGTGGCTGCACTTGGCGGATCAGGGCTACTAAGAAACATGAGAAGCTAGAGATGTTCAAAGTTGTTCGTTATGCAGGTCCTCATATACCTACTTGTCTAGGTAACGTCGATAACACTGACCATGCTGGTATCACAGCTCAGTTCATAGCCCGTGAAATTATTGATCTTCTTCGTACCGATCCATCACTAAAAGTCCGCACTATTAGTCAGCTTATGAAGGAAAGGTACGGCTATATACCTTCGTACAAGCGAAGTTGGTTGGCTAAACAAAAAGCTATCGGTGAAATATTTGGAGATTGGGAGGCGTCGTATTCTGAATTGCCTCATTTCATGTTGGCATTACAACATTCCAATCCAGGGACAGTCGTGCATTGGTACCCACCTCTTTCAGGTACCAATGAGTTATTAATATCATTATTAAATCATATTAAATTTCATTTTAAATTTGTCCTCCTAATTTTCTCCATCTTTCAGGTACCACTGATGTTCAGCAGTTTCAAAGAGTTTTTTGGGCATTTAAGCCATCCATTAAGGGCTTTAAACATTGTCGTCCCTTACTGACCATCGATGGAACACACTTATATGGGAAGTATAAAGGTACATTGTTGGTGGCAATGGGTAGTGATGCTAATAATCAACTGTTCCCTTTGGCGTTTGCTATCTGTGAATCGGAGAATGGAGAGAGTTGGCCGTGGTTTATGGCGTGCATACGTCATTTTATCACACGCAGAGAATTGTGTGTTATTTCAGATCGACATGCTGGAATTATGAAGGCATTTAATGAGGTAGGTGGTGGATGGGAGGAGCCAGATGCAAGACATAGGCTTTGCATACGGCATGTCGCTTCTAATCTGCATACTCAATTTAAAGACATTCACTTGAAGAATCTGTTCATTTGGACAGCAAGTCAACGTCAAAAGAAGAAATTTGATGGTGGATTTAACAAGATAGGCGAAATGCAGGCACAAGCACGAGAATATCTAGCGAACATTGGTTTGGAGAAGTGGTCTTTACACCACGACGGGGGGTACAGGTATGGCACCACAACAACGAACATGGCTGAAGTTTTCAATAGTGTCATGAAGAGTGCACGATACCTGCCTGTAACCGCCTTAGTTGAGTTATCATTTTATCGTGTGAATGCCTATTTTGTGGAAAGAAGAGAAACTAGTAAGAGAAGATTAGCAGAAGGGCATCGCTACTGCCAGCAAGTGACCGAACTGATAGAGAAAAATACGGAAAAGGCAAAGCATCACAAGGTCACAATATTTGACATAGGCCATGGTTTATACCAAGTGGAGACGGGTCGTGGTGGTCGCACCGTGGGGAAGGGTGGCAGAAAACAAACGGTGAATTTGCACCGTCGCCATTGCACATGTCAGAAGCTGAATATCTATAAGATTCCTTGCTCACATATATTAGCGGTATGCAGACACCGTAGTTTATCCTATGATGCTTTTGTTGATAAATTTTTTTCTTCATCGGAGTATGCGGCTTCCTATAAAAGAGTATTTAAGCCCATACCAGATATAGCATATCGACCTACTTACACTGGACCACGAGTTGTGCATGACCCGTCGATGATTCGCGCTAAAGGTCGTCCGAAGGCTAAACGATTGAGAAATGAAATGGATGAAGGCCCTAAAGGTACTGTGAGATGCGGTAAATGCAAGCAAACAGGGCATAACAAGACGACATGTGCTAGAAGATCAGAGGGACACGTAGGGAGTTCCACTGGGTAATGTTGTTGTTTTCTCCGCAAATGCATTAGCAATATTAAAAAATAAATAATTTTAATTTAATAATAAAATAAAATAACTAATACACTTATTACTTTTACAGCGCCGATGCAGGTGTCAGTGGATCCCGGACCGATTGATCCTTCAGTCCTGACATTGCAGGCCACGCACCGGAGCGAGGATGTGTGGCATGGCCTGGATGTTCAGGTAGATAGGTGTCGTGAGCACCTACGCAGTATATTCCACACGGGGGTTGACGATAGGATTCTACATTACGTTCGATTAGCTGGGTTTTATGGTGTTCACAGATTAGTTTCGACTCTGCATATAGATAGAGCATTACTTACCGCTCTACTTGAGCGTTGGAGGCAGGAGACTCACACGTTCCATTTACCGGTGGGTGAGGTCACGATCACATTAGGAGATGTGGCTGTATTGGCAGGTCTACCGATCGAGGGTCGGGCAGTTACTGGGACTGCATGTAGACTGTGGGTTGATTTGGTACACAGATTGTTGGGAGTACGGCCACACCCTGGGACAGATATTCGGGGGTCCGCCTTGAGGATGGCTTGGTTGAGAGAGCATTTTGTTGGTTTACCTGCTGATGCTGATGACGATGTTGTGCAGCAGTACGCGAGAGCCTACATTCTGATGCTTATGGGAGCTTCCACGTTTGCGGACAAGAGCGGGAATGAGGTGCAGGTCTTGTATTTACCCATTCTAGAGTCTTTTGATGTAGCTGCAGTTTATAGCTGGGGTAGTGCGACTTTAGCATACCTATATCGGCAGTTATGTCGAGGTTGCCATCGTGATGGTGGAGAGATGGGTGGGTTTTTATTGCTCATACAGCTATGGTCATGGGAGCACATTCATATCGGCAGACCTGTCATACTGCGATATCATGGGGTAGATGGTGGTCCTCTTGATGATGATATGGATCAGCACGCTGTACTTGGGCCACATCATGTTCGTGGCGAGGATCCTTTGGGTCGTAGGTATGTTTATGATTTTTTTTGTATGACGTACGTGAATCCCTTTTATATTCTTATACATTACAATGTGTCAGATGGCTATTTGCTCATGTCACGCGCACGTCATCCGCTGCTGGATTAGGATACTACCGAGATGCTTTAGATCGCTTGTGTGATGATCAGGTATATCATTTATATCATTAAATGTAAGTACTTTGTTTTATGTTTTTATAACCCATGGTCTAACATAATTTTATATTAAAGATGACGTGGATGCCGTACACTGATGAGATTCTAGGGCGGTTGCCTCCTGTAGCCCGAGAGCACACTGAGATATGGCGAGCACGTGTGCCCTTGATATGTTTTGATGTAGTGGAGCATCACTTTCCTGATCGCGTACTACGCCAGTTCGGGTTGCAGCAGGTTACTCCCGGGCCTTGTGATACATCTGTGGATTTGCACAAGATTGATAGACGGGGGAAGCACACTGAAGATTGGGGGATGCGCCATATTCAGTATATCACTATGTGGGATGAGAGAGCGGCGTATATAGTGGACGGGATCCCATCATTAGTCCCCACAGCTTCTGTAGACTACATGAGATGGTATTACACCATCACACGGGTGTTTATCTCTCCCAGTTTTCGTTTACCCACTGATCATTACCAGCCTAGCTCAGTCGCTCTTCATATGACGGTAAACAATATAGTCAATGAAATATCTTTATTTATTTATTTATTTATTTATTTATTTATTTATTTATTTATTTATTTATTCATGTGTTTTTCACTAATAACCATGTTTGCATTACAGACACGGGCTTTACGTAGCATCCATGACAGAGCGACTGCTATACTTGATGAGGCGGTAGATGTACAGGGATACCATGACGCCTGTTCAGGCATTGTTTCACTGTGCGCTGATGTATTGGGTCGAGTGGATTATGGATATATGGCCACCTCTCAGCATTCCACCGCATCTACATCCGCAGCAGGGTCTTCTCAGGCAGTCCGACGTGATAGAGTTGTTCTTCAGCCTCGTAACCAGCGCAGGCGTCCCCGAGCACAGCTACATGAACTTCATGATGATGATGATCACGTTGACTTATGATCTTTGTATTTAAATTATTGTGTGAAAGTTGTAGCATGCACTGGCAGATCGAATCATTTTGTGAAACACCAGATTTATTATAACTTTTATGGTTTATACTCAATTTTGTGGTGCATTGATTTGGTTTGTGAAAGTTTCATAATATGTAGTTTCATTGATTTGTTTAGTGTCTTGGATGTATGTTGTCATGTAGTTTCATTAAATCATATGTTTGGTTGTTTTTTTGAGTGGAATGGACTGTGAGTCTGTGATGATATGTTTGGTTGTTTTTTTGAGTGGAATGGACTGTGAGTCTGTGATGAGCAGATTATTTGGTAATTACAGGTTAACTTGTGTAAATAATTGTGCAGCAGGTTCGTTTACACAAAAGCCGCCACTTGGAGTGGCGGCTTTCATACATAAGTAGAAGAGCCGCCACTCCAAGTGGCGGCTTTTGTGAAGCAGTACAAGAGCCGCCACTTGGAGTGGCGGCTTTTCTTAACCGTGGTTAACCCCAGCAGTATTTTGGGAATTATTCTTAACCCGGCAGTATTTCGGGAATTAATTATTTAATTAACATTATTCCGGGAAAAAACTCATAAAAAAATCTCAGCAGGTCCCCCGTCCCTCAGGCCCTACACAGCTAAGTATTCGCAACTTGCTCGAATACGCAGACCATGTGCGACCATAGCAGTTATCGAACAGTTCGGAGGAAGAAACAACAGATGAAATTAAGAGAGGCCAGAGAGAAAGATACGGTCATCTTCAAGAATTAAACTTTTTTCCACACATCGAAGTGAACCTGTAAGTGAATCTGTTTTCCGTATCTGGTCATTGTTGTCACTGCTTCCAAGTAAAGAAAATACTAGTCTTCAGTTTCTATTGACACTTGAAAGGAGATACAATACTAGTGAGCAAAAACTTAATTTTTTCACTTGGTTTCGGTAAAATTAAGAAATTTGACCCTCTCCTGATGGGAATGAATAGTTAATTATTTGCCAATTAATTTAGGCTGTAGCAGGGAGATGAAATTATATAAGCAGAAACCTGAAATCGCAATGGAGGAGAGCAATGGACCTCCCCCAAGATTGCCCACTTCAGTTATGCATTCTGTTTACTCACATTTCCAGTCAAAAATTGGAAAGCCCCTAGAGGTTTGTCACCTGTGATCAAGAGTCATTGCTTTATGGGGTTCTCACCACTGTGTTCCAATTACTTCAAGGCTTTGTCTTTTTGCCATTGCAGGTTAATTTTGAAAGATTAAAAAGGGGCGGAGATGTATTAATGGCTTCACTTGTTAGAAAAAATGAGGCATCTCTGGTCTTAGATGTTGATCTTGAGAACCAAATGCAACCTTGGAAAGAGAATCCTGTCTGGACTGATCATCCTCCAGATATAAAGGTAATATTAATCTGAGTTATCCATCTGGTGAATGACACTTGTTTCAAAATCTACTCTTCTAGAATCTATGCATCGTTAACAAGTTGACTGGACAGATGTTTTGTTAAAAAAATGGTTCAGCAAGGTATTTAGTACCCCGATTAAGCTTCTCACTTGATTTTCTGGACGTCCCTGCTAAAGCTTCCTATTTCTATTTTAGGAAATAATTAGCACTCTCGAATGAAAAATTAATCTTCAAATGTTAAAAATAATACACCTATAACATTATAGTTATCATCAATGATCTCATTATGTTATATACTCATCAAAACTATTTCTCAAAATATACTCGAATTACCTTATTTAATTATTGTCTAAATCATCGTGCCATTTTTTAGCGAGAAGCTCAAGCCGGTGCGGAGGTAGTATTTTAGTTGAAAAAAATGTTCTCCAGTTTTTCATTTACTACTACCCCTGTTCCATTTTGTTTGTTCTATTTTCATTACGAGGTTTGACAACATATGTGACCCAACATGACCCAGAAAATATATTTAAAATGTTTACGGACAGAAACAGTACTATACTAAGATCGGGGTTGACTGGCTGAACAAAGTGAAATTGACGATTTAATCATCTTTATTATGTACGATTTAATCATACTATTAGGATAGATTCACCCCTTTCCACCAATTAATAGATGTAAAGCGTTTAGGAGGCTGGAGTCTTCCCTAATAATATTTAAATTAGTACTAATTAAAGTTACATATTAAAAAAGTATACTAAATATTCTCTTGTATTGCGAAAAAAAATGATGTCCAAAACCTGAGAATTAGGAAGTATTATGTTGTGCTGAATAGTGAAATGACGCAACATAGAAAATATTTCTTTTATTAGTAGGACCTTCTCAATACCCCCTGTTGCTGATGTATTGTTCATTTGTTCCTGACATTATCATCATCACCTTAATCTCATTTAAGTTGGAATTGTTTGTGTAACTTATAGTGTGAGTTAATTGTCTAAAACTATTTCACCCATGATGTCATGGAAAAAGAACATAGTAGCAAAGATTTGCACTGAATACCTTTCCTACCGCAACCTTATTGTGAAGAACTATTGAGATGAAATTCCAAAACAATCATTATCATAAGAGTTTGTTTAACTGGGTGGAAAATGTGATGAGTCAAGAATGAATTTATATGGTTGTTATGTTGTAGTCATGTATCATGACAAGGTATATATTGTAAAATCTACATACACATCCTGGGATTAGTGTTTTGCTTTTATTCTTCACATCTTGATTTTTTTGTCATTTTCTAATCCTTTGAATGATTTTTGCAGGTGACCATACCTGAAGGTTCACTGTGCAAGATGAACGTAACAGTGGATGTTGGATTGCCACCAGATGCAGTTTACAACATTGTAACTGATCCTGAGAATAAGAAAGTTTTCAAGAATATTCAGGTATTTAATGTGCTTTTGATGGCTCCAATAAAGTACCATGAGAAGCAGAATTTGGATTTTTTCTTTTCCGTATTTCTTGCAGCTTATACTCTCATGTGGTTGATATAAGGATGATAATTATCCAACAGAAAGTGGTATCAAGGAAGGTGTTGGTTGATGAAGGGTCAAGGCAGGTTGTGGAACTAGAACAAGCTGCTTTGTGGAGATTCCTTTGTTGGTCAGGGACAATATCAGTGCATGTCTTAGTAGACCAGAATAGAGAGGATCGCACGGTATTTCTTTGGGAAAATGAAACTGTGCACCCCAATTTTTGGTGACATTTGACTTTGCACCCTATTTTCAAAATCATTAATGTATGCACCCCAATTCACTATAAATGATTTTGGGCTAATGGGTTCCACACATAAATGATTTTGAAAACGGGGTGCAAAGCCCAATATCGCCCAAAACATGGGACGTGAAGTCAAATTATCCCTATTTCTTTTTTTATTTTGTGGCATTTGCGTGTGAGTTTCATTTCATCCAATGCCATTAATGCCTTAATCCCTAGTAAGTTGGGGTTAATATGATGATATTTAAAGATTGTTGGTAATATAAGTTAATGCAAAAAATAGAAAGTGAAGTTACATGAGGTGTGTAGAACTTACATAACAATACTAATAGTTTAGTTAGAAAATATTCCACTATGAGTCCCAGTGTCCCACAACTATGAAGTCATTTACATTTCTGGTCCCTGACTTTATTCTTTTCCTTGTCTTGGCGCACCACTATGATTTATTGATAATTTTGTTCCTTCTCATCAAAGATCCTCTATACAATCAATGAGAAATTGTACAATTGGATAATTTGAATTGATAAATAAACAATTAAAGTTACCCATAAATATGAATAATGATATTATCTTATGACTTTGTTTTACGTATACTTAGATATAGTTGATTTATCTGATGTTCCGTTTTCTGTTATAGATGAAGTTCAAACAAGTAAAAACTGGTTTCATGAAAAAATTTGAAGGTTGTTGGAGAGTTGAACCTCTTCTTGTTGATGAAGATGTATGCCATCTAGTAAGACCTAAGAACTTGGCTGATTATGTTTTGTGCACAGAAGGAAAAGGAAGGGTTGGATCAAGGTTAAGTTTGGAGCAACTTATCCAGCCTGCTCTTGTTCCTCCCCCACCCATTTCTTGGTACATTAGAGGAATCACAACCAAGACTACAGAGATGATTATAAATGACTTGCTAGCTGAAACGGCCAGGATTCGAAGCTCATCTAGCATGGAGAATTCGAGAGGTTCCGTGGTATCATCCAATGAGAGGTCTAGTGAATCACAATTTGAAAATCTAGGCAATATAAAGGAGAGATGGGCATCAAGAAGAAAAAAAACAAGGAAATGTGGTAGAAGACTGTCTTGCAAAGATTCTGCCAATAAGTGATGCATGCTTGTCAAAGATAATAACCCCTTGTATACAAAATTGATGTATGTAACCTTAGGCCATGAGACATCAGGTCAAGGTTGTGTAACATGTCAGTTCAGAATCTTGACTAGCCAGATCGGTTCAAAAGTCGGACCAAATCAGAAAGTTAAGTCCAATTAATAACATCCTAGTGCTCAAAAAGAGTATACTGTATACAAACATTAAGATTGGTGTGTTTCAACTTTCAACTAGCGAGGACAATTAAACTCCCTTTTAGTTCAAGCTCGAGCTTTAAATTGAGTTGAAACAATCACCGATCTACTTCAGTTGGATTGGAGCCGCTTAAATATAAACTATTTTTTCATAAAATTACAATTATAACCCTCAAATCTAAAGTATAATTAAAATCGACTTCAAGGCTTATAACAATCCAATAAATAAGTAAATTTTTAAGTTAATCTAAGATTTTTTTGGAGGAACATCTAACCTATTATAGTACTTATTCTATTATTATGCTAACATCTTGATTGAGATGACACTCAAACATGTGACTTTCTCTTTGAGAATGTCACAAGGATCTTGATAATTAATCCTAGATGTTTTTTATTCTCTGTCCCATAAAGCTTGACTAATTTTCTTTATTTAAAGCAATTAACTTGAGATTAATGTTATTGCTAACTCACTTGCATAAATCTTAACCACGTAATTTTTTTATTTCTTATACCACGCGTGTAAATTTATTTAAGCCACTCGTACTGGAGGGAAAATTGAGGGAATGTGTATAGTTTATGCTATTTTTTGACTTAGTGAACATTTTTTTTTACCAATTATGTAATTTTTAATTTTGTGCGTTGACATGTGTAATAATAAAAAAAAGGAGTTTTTTTCATCTTGAATTGGATAAAATGAAAATCATGATATTTTAGCTCCTAGTAATTTTTTGTATAATTATCTCATTATTTTATTAATAAAGTATATTTTAAATACTCCGTATATTTTTTTCATTATTATCAAAATTCAAAAAAATCTGGTTGAATTTCACAAATTTCAACTGGTTCAACCACCCATTTTGCCCGGGTTTATCAGAATTCAGAAACGAATGGGTGAAGGAAGATCTGCGGGAACCAGTAAAAGAAAAGCTCTTGTAGTAAATAAATATGTTGTCCAAGAAGGAGAAGTGCTTTAGCAGAAAGATTTGAGAAAAAAAAAGTGGAAATGGAAGCACTGCTACCATCATGTACACCTCTTACGGCGATGAGATCCTCGCAGCGTTGTCTTCCCGTTGTGTTCGCAGAAAAGTACAGAAGAAGAAAAGCAAGTGGTTGGAGCCGTAGAAGTCAGTTATCATCAAGTGATCATCAGCTCCCATTAGAAATGCAGGCTTGGACTTACGCAGAGTATGGAAGCGTCGATGTTTTGAAGCTGGAATCCGGTGTGAGAGTGCCGGAGATGAAGGAGGATCAGGTGCTCGTCAAAGTGGCTGCTGCTGCTCTCAATCCGGTTGATTTCAAACGCAGGCTGGGCAAGTTCAAAGCCACTGATTCCCCTCTACCCGTAATACCCCACTCTCATCAGATTGTGAATTTCATACGAAATGATTTACTTCCGGTCTTACCACTATTGTGAATTGTGACCATTTGGTAGGTTACTACATTTTCTTGCCTATTGGCGGTCCTTCCCTCACACGCAAAATCAAGCATCGTTTAACAATTTCAGAACCAAAACTGAAATTTGTATTCTTTTGATACATAATAATTGTTTGTTAATTCGTCTCAATTTTCAATGAGAAAAAACTGTAATAGTAAATATCAGAATAACAATGGTAGTATAAACTGCAAATGTGTAATTTGGTCGGAATCTGGAAAGTTACCAAGCAGCATTTTGTTTTGTCTCAGACTGTGCCTGGGTATGATGTTGCTGGAGTAGTAGTAGGAGTTGGTAGTCAAGTAGAAGGCCTAAAAACAGGTGATGAGGTTTATGGGAACATAAACGAGAAAGCATTGGAAGGGCTGAAGCAGTTTGGTTCCTTAGGCCAGTACACTGCAGTTGAGGAGAAGCTGTTGGCTTTGAAGCCGAAAAACCTGTCTTTTCCACAAGCTGCTTCTCTTCCTCTTGCAATAGAGACTGCTTATGAAGGCCTCGAAAGGGTCGGGTTCTCCGCCAGGAAATCTTTACTTGTTTTGGGCGGTGCAGGAGGCGTTGGATCTCTTGTGATTCAGGTATATGACAGTATTTACAACAGCGTATTACTAAGATTAAAATGCTAGAGGTTTTAGGATGGAATCTCATTTTTTAGTAATGTTAGTTATATTGTGATGGTCCAGGCATTGCTTTGTTTGTATGATTGTGCAGCTTGCCAAGAATGTATTCGGTGCTTCAAAAGTAGCGGCAACATCAAGCACCGGAAAATTGGAGTTGTTGAAAAACTTAGGTGCTGATTTGTCTATTGACTACACAAAGCAGAACTTTGAAGAGTTACCATACAAGTTTGATGTCATCTATGATACAGTCGGTATGTTTTTTTCATTAAGAGTTTGGGTTCTATCTCAAAAGGTGAGTCTGCAAGACATATTATGTTTGTATGAATTTGAAAATGCAGGGCAGGGAGAACGGGCAGTTAATGCGGTGAAGGAAGGAGGAAGCGTAGTTGTACTAACCGGTGCAGTCAAACCTCCCGGATTCAGGTTTGTAGTCACTTCAAAGGGGGAAGTGTTGAAAAAACTCGCACCCTTCCTTGAAAGTGGGAAGGTGAAGCCGGTGATTGACCCTAAAGGTCCCTTTAGATTTGACCAGGTTGTGGATGCATTTTCACACCTCCAAACTGGGCATGCTACAGGGAAAGTTGTCATACATCCCATTCCATAAGTATATACTACTCCGTAGTATATTGTTAGGGGAGCTCGAGTATGTTGTTGCCTACTGCAATTGGTATTGGACACCACTGTAGTCATGGTTTTTGAGTGGGAATGAGACCGCTGACTAGTCAGCTTGATTCCAATCACACAGCTTTTCCGTTTGTTCTGTATTGCAATGGCCAAATGGCTTTGAAGTCATGCCAACATCCCCATTGGAGAGTAGTGAGGTATTTTTTTTTTTTTTTTTTTTTTTTTGCATTATTAACAAAGAAAATCGTATGTCCGAATCAATATTGTACATAATGTTTTACAAATATTTAGCTTTTTTTTTTTTTTAAATTCAATTTTCCAGACTAGAACCTTTGGAAACCGGACATTACCCAGAACCAATGATAATATCGAACAAGAAGCAAACTTCCCCTCCACCTGTTTCAGCTAAGGCTCCCTTTATTCCAAGTCTGGGATGACCAGTCCAGAAATATAATTGATTGCATTCACCCAAACTATTTGCCTATAAGACTATTATCGTACAATAACTACTCACTCTTCTGTTAGACGCCCAAAAAAATCTTCCCTTAGTTTCTTTTAAAAAGAATTGTTTTTACTTGTATTGATTCTTTTTTATCTATACAAATCTTAACCACAAAAATTGAATGATCTAAAAGGAGGGTAAATAGTAAATAGGAGAGTTGTCCAGATCAAACTCCAGAATGTATCTATATAATCTTGTTTTTTTCTTTGCATAAACAGAGTCTATTGTGCCGTTACAAAATGGTACAGTAAATAATGTTGAACATCTGCCCAATGGTTTAGTCAACTTCAATAGAGTAGCACCATCATTGCATTGTGTAATATGTTTACTTCCAGTAAAGTTGTAAAGATATGTGTAGTATAGATTGCTGTAGTCCTCCATATCATTTGTATGAGATGAGGTATACACAAGTGCCTGCAATGAAAACTTGAGGCAAAATGCCGTAGTAGTTGTAACTAAAATCAGGTAAAGCTTAGACCTTGAGAGAAGGTGTAAGGCTGAAATCGAGGTTCCAAAGCTCAAAGGATCCATTCACAAAATCATAGTGTCCGCCTTTCAAATGAAGAGTTTTACTTGCCACAGCCTCTCTCACAAAAGGGTATGTCAACAGATTGCTCAATGACACATTCACAGCCTCCTACAAAATGCCCAAAACATAAATTTTAAAACAAAAACTAGTGATTCAAAGAGTTATGGACTTATGGTTGAAGTTCAAGTGCGAAAAATGTTCACTAAACATTCTTTTAATCTCTAAACATTCTTTTAATCAAATTTTGTATTATAGTTCTCAGCTCACTGAAATTTTATCAGAACTCCTAGGCATAATATGAGTTGAGGTATCATTGTGAATTGTGATACATTAAGGGGTTGATGTACTAAAGTCATACAAATCAATAGCTAAGGTACCAATTGAGCATTTTACCTCATACACATAGACCAATGTTGGCCAAAGCCCAAAAGTATTATTAACATTCCCCTTTGGTGAATGTCTTGTGTGGTTTATATTGGTTTTTATTTTTATTTTTACATCAATCACAAAAAATACATTTTCCCTTTTACAAAGTACTCCGTAAATTTTTGGGACTGAAGAAGTAGTTAATTTCACTTTCTCTTCCTTATTTACAAAATGCATGCTCAAAGGGAAGATTTGTTGAGTGAATGTTAGGGGTGGACTCGGCCGGGTGGCCCGGCCCGGTCACTGTTTGAACCGGCCCGAACCGCCAGCCCGGCCAGGGACCGGTCCAGGTAGGCCCGACCCGCTGGGGTTCCGGGCCGGGCTCGGGCCCTTGAAAAGGTGAACCGGCCCGGCTGGTTCGGGCCCGATCCGGGCCTATTTATTTTTTTTTTTTGTCTTTTTTTTTGATTTTTTTTTAAGTTTTTGGGTTGGGTATTTTGGGCCATTTGAGATGGTTTGGGGTGAGGGGGGAGGGTTGGGGGTTAATTAGGAAAAGCCAAAAAAAAAATTAAGTTGAACCGAGGTCCGGCCCGGTCCGGCCCGAACCGGACCCAGGGGTTACCCGGGCCGGTTCCGGGCCCCCCTTTCATGGACCGATGCCTGGCCGGGCCCAGGCCCGAACCGGCCCGAGTCCACCCCTAGTGAATGTGCTTCCAAAAAAGTAATGGATTTGAATGAGATGATAGTGACAAAACTCAGAAGTGAGTAAACAACGCCTCTTAATTCATGAATGCCACGGCAGAAACACTAATTATCCAAAGATAAATCATATTAGTAGTATTACCTTCTCCAACATTGTGCATTGGGCATCAAGGTCGAGATCACTGCATTCAGATTTTACTTTTTCCTTGGCAATCAATCCGATTTTGACCCAATCCTCAATAAAATCACTGCATATGTATTCAAACAATGAATGAATTGTGGAACCAGTGACAAACTCCATTTTGTACGTACATACAGCTAGCCGTGGATTAGTTGGACTGCACAGCGATAATTAGGGTGGCCTACCAATTGGCTGTGTTTTGCCGGCCCAGATTTTGTCACAACCTAGCTAGCTAAGACTTCCCAGACCATTTAATTATAACGACAAAAAAATGGAAAGTTTTTTTGGTTTTCTGAAAGTATGAAAATAATTGAGTGTAATAATGCATGCAAACCTCTTAGTGACCCCATCATCAGGAAGAGACATGAGACCTTTTATTCCACCGCAACAGCTGTGTCCGATGACTAAAATATTCTCCACCTTCATCACCAGATATAATGATTATTTAATTTGCACCAAACTATAGTTTACTAATCAACTTTGGTTTAATTTGCAAACCTCTTACGATTTTGACCATTAATTTGCATCCTATGACAAAAAATGAAAAGGGTCTATTGACATGTGCCAAACTTTAACTAAAAGGAAAAGTCTATTAATAAGAAAGAGAAAAGATTCATAACGGGTAGAGGGTGGCACTAAAGATGAGATGGACCTTGTCCTAGACTTTAGTCCATTTTCCAATTACCATGTCATCTAGACTTTATCTACTTTATTTTGGATTTATTTTGGATTAGAGATGACATTTATATTTCAAAAGTGCATTTGATGAGGTGAAACTATGCACATCTCCATTGGAGATGCTGGAGATGCATCTCCAATGGTGAGGTGGATTGCAAAAAAATGTTATTCACCTCATCAAATAGACCCTTAGTGAGAAGATGCACTCTCCAATACAAAACGAAATAAATTAGGTTCATCCTAGTTGGCAATACACATGGTCCATGAGCACAACTCCAATGCTGAGGTGAATTGTGATTCCACCTCACCAAATGCACTTGTCATATGAAAATAAAACACACGGTGCATCTTATGTGGCAGGGAGCAAGGTCTACCACAAGGTCTATCAATGGACCCTTGACAAAATAAAAAGGTAATGGTGGGCCTATGTGTATGGGGAACCACTCATTTCTCTTACTCCATGTTCTTCATTTTTTATCTTGCTTTTACATTTGTTGGCCTTGTCCCGCAGTGGAGATGTATGGAATGCACCTTCTTTATTTTGTAATAATGGACCCACTTTCCTAATAGACTTTGTCTATATTTTTGCCATGTCACATGCAATAGACCTAGAGCATTGGAGTTGCTATGAGAGGTCTACTTTGAGACCTTCAGTCTCACCCTCTCCTCATTTGCTATGTTGGGTTTTTGAATTATTAGTTTTACTTTAAATTGCTCTGCCTTTCCCATTCAAGTAGGGTGTGAAGACCCTCTCCATTTGATTAATTTTGGCCCACAACTTAATACACCCTCTCCATTTATTTGACACATCATCACCGATCCACCACAAGCATTGGAGATGCTCTAATCAATGATTGGTTCGTTAGATTGAATAGTTTGAAAAAAAACTCAGTTTATGTTACCTCCAATACATATGAAATAGAAAAGTGGAACTTTAGTTTTTTATCATACCGGTGAATTATAGATCCTAGTGAACCAATTATTGTTTTTTGAATTGCCTCTTGGGGATTAATTATGGTCTCTACTACTTCTAAGTTTTCTTCCTTATTGCTAAGAAATACTTATTGTTACTCTCATCTCACCATAGATGGAAAACCTTATATGTTTTTGGTTAACATTGTTGTGATCAATGAAGTGGTTATTGGTTAAGAAGAAAGACATGACAAATGTCACAAGGAAACAAAGAAAATGTAAAGCAATTAGAGCTGGGTTCGAAAAACCGAAAACCGAAAACCGAAAACCGAATCAAATTAAACTGAACCACAACCAAATAAAACCGAACCGCTAAGAACCGAAACCGAATGTAAAAAACCGAACCGAAGTTGTTTGGTTCGGTTTTGGTTTTTACCCCTCAAAACCGAACCGAACCGAACAAACCGAACTATTTAAAATATGAAATTTATATGTTAATTGTTAAGCATTAATTTTAATTAATCTTAATATCATCAACAATCTTTGGGTTTCTTGTGTTAGAGAAATAATGTGTGTTATATTTAATTTGATTTAATTTATAAATTCATTTACACATTCATTGTCTGTAATAATGTAGCTAGCTATATTGAATGATGATAATATGTGTTTACTAGTTATTAGTAGTAATTGACTTTTATTTTTAGATAACTTAAATATTTTATATTGATAAAACTATAAATATTCATCTCAACTATATCACATAGAACGTATATATTCATGAACTTTTTTCAAACTACTCACAAACAAATTAAACCAATAATATATACAGTTTTATCTATCTCGCATTAGTCGCATACTCATATAATTCAAGACATATTTATCTCTTCTCATTTTTATTTTATTTGTTGTTCTATTGTGCTTGTATTCTCTATGTAATATGTTTGATCCCTCTAAGTATTATATCAATTTTAAATCAAGTGATTTTTTGGTAAAAAATTGAAAAAACCGAAACCGATCAAACCGTGGTTCCAAGTTTTGGAGTGTAAAACCGAACCAAACTTTTTACTTTGATTCTATATTTGGTTTTAGGTCAAAACCGAACCGCAAGAACCGAACCCACCCCTAAAACCAATATGCCGAGGCAGACCCGAAATTCAAGAGTTATAAGAAGAAGAATTACAATAAATGCCAACAAAAACACCTCGGTCAAAGAATAAAGTTGAAGAAATGTTTTTTAAAGAAGTTGAAGATATGTTAATCACCATTTTAAAAGAATTAGTTTCATGTACCTCTCATAATGAAACATGCCCTCACATCGTAAGAGATCGATCACTCTACATTTCCCTACCACACAACTCCCTCACAATGAAGTGCTCAAGGATGTGAAGGTAAGTGTTCAAATCTTTCAACTCTATTCTTTGATTAAATACAACAACGAAATCATCCACTATGAGGGTAATCATAGACCCGAAGATTATGTTGATTCTTCTACGGTCATTTTCAAATTTGAAATTATTATTTTTAGCAAAAAGCAAAAGTTGAATCTCACAAAACAGGCAATATTGTTGCATACTACTTGCATCTAAAGAGGTTAAAATGGTGTACAATGTCGAATTTTCTATTTTGACATGCCTGAATTTTTTCTGAACATCAAATAAAGCGTATAGATGATCGAACCAATTAATTGGAAGTGCATGCATAATTTTTATGAGTTATGCTAGATGTACTCATGTACATGTACTGATATACTCTTACAAAGTGATAGCATCATATTGTTTAAAACGTACATCACATCACTTATTTGTGTGTAAGTTTTTTTTTGTAAGTTTGTGTGTACTTATAACACTTTTCAATTTTGATTACGAATTTTAGAGCACCCACAATGGGTGGTCAAGTAGGATCAAAATAACAAAGTGGTGGGAGTTGACCCCCACTATGGAAGGTTAGCATTTGATCGGGCAAGTCCAAGGGTCAAAAATGAGTTCTGACATATGCTGGGCAAGTCCAAGGTTGGCTTTTTTTGTTTGCCGAGGTGGTGTATTGCGTGGAGGAAGGGGAGATTTCTTCTCCCACATTTGTAGCCACAAATCCCACCAACCTTTTAATTTAATATTTTATGAATTAAATCAATTTATTTTACAAAAAAGATTATATCAAAAAATCAGATTTTTTCCCATCTATAAATAGACACCAATGAAGGATATGTTTACTCACTTCGAAATTTAGCACTTCTTTCCCTCTTGCATCTGGTTTTATCTGTTTAGATGGTCTGGTCTGGTTTGATCTGATCTGTCTGAACTGGTATAGTAAACGTCTAGTCTCTGTGTATTTTATAATTACAAAAGTCAGGTCTGGTCTGTCTGATCTGGTCAGGTTTGGTCTGGGGCTGAAAAACAGTCCAAAAGAAAATATCTCAAATAAATTAATAAAGGTGAGATATATTAAAATAAGGAGAGAGAGTGTAAAAATTAAAATGTGACCTAGGTCACCATAGTGGGGAGAAATTGTGATAGGTTAAAGGGATTATGTTTTTGGAGAAAAGTGATGTGGAAGAGAGAGATGGGGTCAAAATCTACCACCATTGTGGATGCTCTTAGTGGATAGATGGAACCAAAAAAAAGAGGAAGGGCCACAGAAATTTTCAAAAAATGACCAAAAATGAGGTGATTTAGATTTAAATTAGAGAAGAGGCAAGATTTAACTAAACTAATACAAAGCAGATAAGACTTGCATAGAACATGTCAAATCACTTCGAGTAAATTTCAATCCAAATGAAAATTCTCAATTTCTTACTGAAATTTGCATCTCTTTTGATTTTTTTTCAATTGGCAAGTATAAATACTCCGTAATTTATCAAGCAAGTGTAATAAGAGAAGGTGTGTACTTTACCTTGAGATGCATTACAGCATATTCTATGGCGGCCCCTGCTCCAGAATACTTTACCTGGAGGACCAAATGCATAAGGAAATCAACTTTTTTATGATGATGAATGGGCCGATCCTAACATTTTTTTGGCCCGAGTCGATTTTTTGCAAAAGGCCCTTGAGTAATGTAAAATTTGGATATTAAGATTCATAAGCAGTAATTTAATTTATATGCCCACATCAAAAAATTAAAACACACATACTGCATGATATTATTTTGATTGATATTATTTGTATTCTTGCTATTTTAATATGAAATGCAAAAATTGTGTATATATAATACTAGTAAACAATTATTTATGGGCCCATATTTTTTAGTAAAATTTTGGAGCCTGAGGCAATTGCTTCTTTGCCTCAACAAGAGGTTCGGCCCTAATGATGACGATGATTACTATTAATATTATAATTATTAATATTATTATTAGTAACATTATTATGATTATTACTATCACTATCACTATCACTATCACTATCACTATCACTATCACTATCACTATCACTATCACTATCACTATCACTATCACTATCACTATCACTATCACTATCACTATCACTATCACTATCACTATCACTATCACTATCACTATCACTATCACTATCACTATCACTATCACTATCACTATCACTATCACTATCACTATCACTATCACTATCACTATCACTATCACTATCACTATCACTATCACTATCACTATCACTATCACTATCACTATCACTATCACTATCACTATCACTATCACTATCACTATCACTATCACTATCACTATCACTATCACTATCACTATCACTATCACTATCACTATCACTATCACTATCACTATCACTATCACTATCACTATCACTATCACTATCACTATCACTATCACTATCACTATCACTATCACTATCACTATCACTATCACTATCACTATCACTATCACTATGTTAATGAATATCATAGTAACTTTAATGTCTACCATAGAAATTATAGTAATGTTTTTTGTTCACAAAAATAATCCTACGTACTAGTGGTACTACGTACTAGTATTTCAATAATATTTGATGAAAGACCAGATAAGATAATGACTATAGAAAATGATAAGATTTAACGACTCTATAAGAATGTAAGAGACTAAGAGATGGCCATAGACTATTAAACACGCCACGAGGCGACGGAGGTCATTATGACTTTATCTGCTGCTTTTTTCCATTTTTAATGTAAAGTTAAACTAAATATAAAAATATAAAAGTTCTTAGATTACTCATCTTAAAATAAAAAGTCAAAACTTACAATGAGAATCCGTTTGGGAACCTACATTGAACCTACTTCCCTACCTAGCGAGCTTGAAGATTCCACCCAACCATTCATATATTTATTTATTTATTTATGGAATAATAATGGAGCTGAGTATCCCTTTAATTATTTAATATGTTGGAGAACAAATTAAAGATACCATAAAATTAAAAGGGTTAAAGATGAGTGGTAGAGATCACTATACCGGGTCGTAAGGTGGGACCATGTTGGCAATATTGCGGACCATGAACGCCTCTCCGGGTTGAAAATTCAGAACATGAGATGGGCAAACTCGCGAATCCGAACACGCAAACACCATAAACTGCATATTTAATATTTAATATAATAATAATAATAATAATAATAATAATAATAATAATAATAATAATAATAATAATAATAATAATAATAATTTGTTATAAGGACGTGTCCTTTTTCCAATTAGCTCTTCAACAGTTTAACTTGGATCATTTTTAATTGTGATCAAATTATATTTATGCACTTCGTTCTTTATGTAGATATAAACATTTTTATTTCATTGCTCGGTCTAATTATTTTTCCACTTGTTTTCTATTACTTCTTTAGTTTCCTAAATGGGCAAGTTCTGCCTTTACTTATTATTATTATTATTAATTTGCATTTACTATTGCCAAATATACAAACTTCTAACTTTTTGTTCTCTTCATTACTTTTCTACAAATTATTATTTATTTTAAATTACTATGTTCGAAAAGCGAGGGTGAAAAATAAATGAAGTAGACTCTTAGGGTACAGAACTGAAATAAAGGTTTTAAAATGCGAAGTTACCACAAAATCAATGGTTTAATGGAAATCAGATAAAATTTGAAACAGTTGACATAAGATTATGGTAAAATAAAGAATTGAAAAAATACAATTAGTAACATTTCATATCAGGTAATTCATCTTATATGTCTTGCTAAATTTAATTATTCATCCAAATAAGTATGCAATTTATTAAATATAGTAACATATATATATATATATATATATATATATATATATATATATATATATATATATATATATATATATATATGTCCCTGATAAATATTGAAGGAAAGCTAAAGTATAGTAACATAACTCATACACACAAACGATGAAACACATCAATTATGAAACAAAGAATGAAATACGTCAATAAAGTTAGTTTTTGATAATTTCTTAAAGCATGTCCTATATTTTTTTATTTTGTTAAGCCCTCATATGGACATTTCATACTTTTATCTTCTGTGCATGATTGTACTTTAATTTTGGGGTAGTGTGTTATTGGTTGTTTAGTATAGCAATTAACAAACCTTGGGACATTGACCTTTAGCAAGCTGCCCGAACAACTCCGTGTTCTTCCTGCAAGCACAACCTTGGCACATTTTTTAATGCTTATAACATGAATAAATATGATCCGTTTACCCATATTTTTTAAAGAATTGTTAACAAGAAAAAGATTGAATAAAGACAAAGTTATAATGCCAAGTAAAAGTACTTTCAAACAATTAATGGACTATTTTCACCGGTAACATTCATATGACAAGGATAAATCAATATTTATCATCAATCAATAATCAAAATAAACTTGATTAACATGGTTGACCGTGATGGAAGGAGAATTTTTTAGGTTAAGATTTTTTAGTTTGACTTAAATTGTCTCATTTGGTATGGGCTGGTCTGAACCAGTCTGGTCCAATTTATGTGTATTTTATAACAATCAATGTCTGGTCTGATCTGATTTATTTAAATTTAATCTAATCTGTTTAAATCTGATCTTGATCTGTTCTTGTTCTGTTTTGGAACGGAAAAGTCGAAAACAATGAGTAAAATACGTCCTTACCTAACGTATGCTACGGAAACTAAACACAACCAATAATTGCTTCTTATGGTCTGCTCTTCAAAACATCCTTAAACCCCCCAATAAAATAACCTTAGTAGTACTTGGCTGCTGTTGTACATCTTTAATGTATGTTTGGTGACTTGTATCTTTGACTTCCCGTCCAATATTTTCAACTAAGGTATTACCTCCATACGGAGTACTCTTTTTCTTCACCTTTCTTTGTTTCTTTAGTTTTATATTGCAGTATTATTATATTTATATTCAAATTAACTAACTATTTGTCAACGTGTATGAATCTTCGAGAGCTGACATCGTGACAATTATTGACTACGAAGACTATTACTCCCTCCGTCCCAGAATTAACTTCAGTTTTGACTGGGCACGGAGATTAAAAAAGTGGGAAATGTGTGGTGGAGAGTTGTGCAGAGGAGAGAGAAATGTGTAAGAATGGTTGTGAACCACAAATCCTTTGCTAAAAAATGAAAGAGGAGATAAATTTGGGACGGACCAAAAAGGAAAGAATGAAGATAATTATGGGACGGAGGGAGTATGAACAATTAAGTTGGAATCTTTCACGGAATTGAATAGGATTGTTCATCTCGCACATTCAATTAACTTTTCATTTTTCGATCGTTTGACTCGATCAATTTCAGTAAAGTAGCAGTAAAGTAGCGGCGGCGTCTGATCTAAGCACGCATGAGATAGTGGTAAAACCTGGTAACTGGGAGTGAAAATACGCCAAATAAGTAAGGATGTTTTTGGATTGAAATTTGCTGATCTGATCTGATCTGGTTTGGTTTGATCTAGTCTGGTAAATATCTGGTCTCTGTGTATTTTATAACTACGAAAGTCTGATCTAATCTGGTCTGATCTGATTTGAGAATCGAAAACAAAACATCCTAAAAAGTCACGATAGTCTGCCGTTGTAAAAAAGATACGGAGTATTTGTCTAACCTTTTTAGCAGTGATTTATTTGTAGTGATTGAGACATAAGGAAAAAGTTATAACAGCTCGATAAATGTGACCATTTGATAGTTTTGTTTAGGGAAAACTATCAAATAAGTCTCCATACTATACCGAAAAAGTCGATTAGACCCTCGTATTTTACAAACACTCAATTAAGTCCTCGAACTATTAAAAAAAGTTCAATTAAGCCCTTTCGGTCGGTAAGTAACTGGTTTCCCGGTTAAATGTAACCTGTTCCCTGGCAGCCGCCATTGTTGGGGTTCGAGCACATCGTCGCCGTCGTCGCCGTTTAATCGGGAAACCGGTTACTTACCGACCAAAAGGGCTTAATTGAACGTTTTTTAATAGTTCGAGGACTTAATTGAGTGTTTGTAAAGTACGAGGGTCTAATCAACTTTTTTGACATAGTATGAGGCTTATTTGATAGTTTACCCTTTTGTTTAATACGGAGTATAACCAGATGTAAATATTTAATGTTAAAATGTACATGCATTTTCTCAAACAAAATTGAAAGTAATTTCTCAAAAAAGATTTTAAATTTCAAAACATACTATTAAAATTTTTTAGAGATTTTTTAAATTTAACGGGAAGACATATATTCCCTCCATCACATTAAATGTGGTTCATTTGACTTTTCTTAATTAATGATAATAAAATTTGGACAATGATTTTAGTTTTTATTTGTGTGAAACTTTTACTTTTATGATACTTTTAATTTAAGAAAAATTAAATTGATCAAATTTGATTTTAAAAGAAAGTAGTAACTTTAGTGAAGGTTACACATGTTCCTCAATAGGATCTTTTAACGATTATATATGTGACCAAATTGGGAAGAATTGGGTTACTTTTGTGTAATTAATTAGCATACAAACTTTTGATTTGTATGCTAGAATTGTATAATAATCCATAAGTATAGTTAGCGTTACTTTTTTAACTGAACTTACTAGAGGTGACCACTTTAACTATTTGTAATATATTTTTTCTTTAATTTATTTATAAAATAAATTTTAGAATTAAACCAATACCAATACCAATTTCAGTGTTATTAAACAAGAACAAATGATCAAACGTGTACCTTTGGGGTGTTAATATTCATTTTGGTGGTCAATTCTAGGGTGGGTATAAAACCTCAACCGAACTTGTGTAGAACAGACTTGAAATGGTACATAAACGAATATCGGGTATGTAACACCCCGGCCCCGCACGCCCCAAGGTAATTACTCCAGACCTCTAGTACTGTTCTCACAAACCGCCCACTAGCCTTTTCCGCGCACTTTGTCCTCACTCGTGCACGCCCTGAGAAACTTCCCAGGGGGTCACCCATCCCAAGACTACTCCCGTGCAAGCACGCTTAACTTTGGAGTTCTTAGCGGATGAGCTCCCTTAGAAGGAGATGCATCTTGTTGGTATGAGTAGTACTATTAATCTATTTATATCAAATCTCAAGTGTTACAGGGTATTTAAACAGTTCATCGATTTGTATCCGGAACCAAAATTGTACAGTTCCAAACGAGTATGGGACCTCTTCTAAATTTTCAGAATAAAAAAATATCCGATCGAACTGTTCAAAAATAATATATCTGACATTTTTATGTTTTTTCATTTCAATAAATCTCTTGTTAAGACCAACAATTTTATAGCCTAAGTCATTCGTCTCTAAAATAACTAAATGTGTGTGCTTATACAAAAAAAAGGATGACACTCCATCCCTGAGGACCCTCCAGAACAGACCAACTGGTTATCCTAGAGGATGTAAATTGAGATTTGATCTCACTATGATGGAAAGAGTGCGGTTCTATCCTAAGTCATTGCTTGGAGTTGAACCTGAGACCTCTCCCTTGTGACGCCCTCTTCCTACAACCCTACCGGGTGGACTATGCCTCCGATATGTGTGTGCTTACACAATCTCTATTATTTGTTCCTTTTAAATAATATATGTTTTATTTGGCATATATTGAAAGAATACTCAACTTTTAGAAATAACTAATGATTATTAACTTCTAGTAATGTAGTGTATATGACTATTTGGTTTATCGTATTTTTGTAGTTTTAAAACTTAATTAATACGGTTTAAATCTTAGGTCCCATTATATAACTATCAATTAGAACTAATATTCAACCTAGAACAAAAAAGAAGAGTGATGAGTTTTTCTATTATATTTTTAATGTAATGATACAAAAAAGTATTTGACAATGTGATGATACTCTTTTTATGTTCTCAAATGATTTTAATGAAGATGATGCCTATCTGTTGTACGAATTATAGTTTTGATATATTTTTCGTTAGTTGTGTTCCACTATTTGTGTGTTTGCAAAACTTAAAGTCAAAAATATACGTCTGTTGCCCCCAATATTACAAAAATGAAGATAAAAGACAAATTGTGACCTCTTTTTTATATTTTCAGAAATGTGACCAACTTCACAATTATACTCAGCAGTGACAAAAGTGACTCCGGACAAAGTGGCTCCGATCTATTTGGTTTATTACAATTTTGATATATTTTTTCTTAATTGTGTTCCACTATTTGTGTGTTTGCAAAACTTAAAGACAAAAATATAAGCTTCTTCAATCTTTCTAGTTTAATCAACATTTCATTTGAACTTGCCGATATAACGGTAACTACTAATTGCAAGATTTTATATAAAAAAAAATAGTATTGGCTTGACATTATATCAAATGAACCGGTTTTTACTGTTTCTAAACGACATCACTTGCAAGATTTTATATAAAAAAAAATAGTATTGGTTTGACATTATATCAAATGAACCGGTTTTTACTGTTTCTAAACGACATCACAGTGAATGGTTCAAACTTAAAACCCTAAAATCGGGTCGAACAGTTAAAAATTTCACAAATACATTACGAGTTTTGTTAATTTAGAAAGGATTTACTTTTTGGTGGTCGATTCGATGAAATCTTTTACTTTGTCAAACAATGATTGATCCGGGTTACGGAGTTCAAGAAAAGTACCACTTATCACATTTTCAATTACCGCGTAAATTGATGAAACATCTGCGAAAATCTAGCCGCCTTTTATGCTTAGGACAAAAAAGTCTTTTTTATGACATTATTTTTCCAAAAAAATCAAATTGTACACACTCTCTTGTATACAATTTATGATAAATCTATTTGTTTCAAATCTCATTCACAAGCCTCTTTTTTCTGTGAATGAGATTCACAAACAAAAAAAAAAATTGTCTTATCATAGAGATGTGTATGAGTATATAAAAGTGTCCACAAGTAGTAAAATTGTTATTTTTGCTGAAGAAATGAATTTGAATGTAATAACATTTAAAATAATGTGATATATCTCTGAGCCGCAGATTGGTAAAAAAATAGTAGCTTTTCAAACGAATCTTTGTCTTCAACTTTTTCTTTTCTCTCTTCTACTCAATTTTCTTTATCCTCGTAAATATAAAAAAAAAAACTCAAAAAAGTCTCATTTGTCAATATATTCAAATTATTTTATATGGTTTCTTCTTAGTGATGTCTGGGATTTGTTTATTACTCATAGGTTGAAATTTTATTGTTTGTAGTTGGCAATGCTAGTCCTGCTTGATATGTTTGAGAGGTTAACTTCAGACGTTGGCGATTTTGGGGCAATTATTCGCTCTCCTTAACCACTGTCATGCTATGAGAGAAAGATATTGTTCAATTACATCTTCTTTTCGGAGTCTGGTGAAACAGATTTATTATTTTATTTCCTATCACAAGGTTGTTTTAGTATTATTGGTAGTCTTTTTTGGCAAAACTTTTTAACCAATGATAGTATATGTCCTTTTCAACCAAGGCCGTCTAGAGCAATTTTGAGGCCCTAGACAATCAAATAATACTTCGTACTCCCTCCGTCCCTCTATTAAATTCTTACTTTGACCTACACACATATTTAGGAATTAAATTTGACTTTACTGTTTAAACACTGTTTAGCACTGTTTAGACACTGTTTGACACTGTTTAGACACTGTTTGGCACTGTTTTGCAGTGTTTGTCACTATATTGATGTAGGACAACTTTCCATTTAGGGAAATGAGAATATTATTTTGGGACGACCCAAAAAGGAAAGTAGGAAGTTAATAGCGGGACGGAGGGAGTATTTAATTATGAGATACAACGTACTCACGTCTCACTAACGCTAGGTTATGATAAAGTTTTACAATTATTAAGAAAAGCTAGTTTAATTATGTGGTTGATATTAAAGTGATAAAGTAAGTATGATTTAGAACCACACAAATTTTGTCAAATTTGATATGTGACATTCTTAATGCATAGGCTGAAAACGAAAGATGAGATAATTTTAGCGGAATAGAGAGAATATAACTTCAATATATTTTTTAGTAAAAATACAAAACTATAATAAGAAACAAATAGGAATGACATAGCCAGAAAGAAATATCAACGTGGCTTGGTTAGTTTTTTCCTGATGATCTTTTACACAATCTTCTAACATATAAAAATATATAACTATTTTACAAATTGGGGGAGGATTGGGGCCTACAAATTTAAAGGACATCCTAATTTAGACATTTCAACTAAATGTTTTCACTTTCTATTTTAGAGAACAATTAACCCTCTTAAGTGACAATTTGATAATAAGATATTAAAATAATACATTTATAACTCATTATATTATATACGTACACATCAAAACTATCTCTCTAAACATACTTGAATTAGGATATTGGCACTTCAGATCAAGAGGTTTCAAACTCTATTAAAGTGTACTTTTTTTGTTGTTGTAAAGAACAAGCTTATATTAAAATCAACCAACCCAAACCAACAACCATATCTCAAGACCTAAATCTCCCTCTATCCAACCAATACCAAAATCTCATTGGCCGCCTCATGTAATGATCAGACATAGAATAGCTCACTCCGTAAAGAACAAGACTAATCGCTGAAACAGTGATAACATAGAAGCTAATAGCAGTTGATACAACCTGATAGCCTCCAACAAACATTCTACCTTCCAAACAAAACCAACACTCAAACTCTCCCCCTTATTGCACGACAAAAGAACAACACAAAAAACAAGCAACTTCAGTCTAAAATAAAAAATGCAAAAAGGTAAAAGTTGAGCTGGTGGAATTCTCTTGCTTCCACCCCTACTGAATCCTCCTGCTCATTCTTTAGTTGTGCTTGAAGCGGGCATTGTAGCCCGCCTCCTCCCCATTTTTTGACATCCCCAACTATATCTTCATGTCTCTATGCAGAGACCTTTCCTCTCCTTGGTCAACTTTTCTATGCTTCTGCTCAACCTTGTCTCCTGTAGAATGCTACTATAGCTTTTTTTTTCTTCAGATTTTCTTGACCATTCAGTCTTTGCGCACTGGCTCTGCCTTTTTCCTTTCCTTTCCCTTTGCCCATAGGCACTAGCCATTTATTTCCACCAGTCGGTACTCTTCCTTGTGAAGCTCTCAACTCACGATCAAACGATAGAACTCCCCACTTTCCCGCGCCATCAGGATAACGTGGGCAATACCTTTCTCCATGACCAATGATTCCGCATGAAAAATGGAAACTAGAGAGCTTTTCATATCTAAATTTGACACATAAATCGTCCCTTTCATCCGTTTGCAAGAAAAGTATCCTTTTCAGTGGCCTGGTCAAATCAACGCTAACTATTATCCTCATAAACAGGTTCCATTTGACAGAAAAATTGTATTTACCCACTTTAATGAACCTCCCCACAAAGTTACCAATTTTTATAGCATTCTTCATAGAGAAATATCCAACCGGAACATCATGGATCTGTATCCAGAAATTAGCCCTATTTAGAGGCACCTCTAAAGACAGATCCCCTTGCCTTAGTCTGTCCAGAACAATAAGAATTTGATCAGAAGTCCATGGTCCTGCCTCCAGGACTCGTATCATATCACTTTCATTGTAAATGAAACATGTACCTTCTAGCCCCTAACTCTGTAATAGTGATCCGTCTAACAGGTTTCCAAACATTCGCCACAATATCTCGAAAATAGAGAAATGTACCGACTTTTCGGAGGTAATTGTGCCTACCAGGGACAAACTCACTTCTTCGCTGTCAGGCGTCGTGGCCTCCACTTGCAGAAACTCACCCCCTCCTCCATCTCCATGCGCATGTACGCACTAGCCAGCCTCTCGATTTCCTGCTGCTCATTGATATCCACCAGCGACCCTTTGCTGTTGTTACGCTTTTGCATGCCAACAATAAAGCTTCCAAGTCTGCATTATTGTTCACTGCGCCGGCCGCTTTACTGCTTCCTTCCCAAATCCGCTGCCAAAGAGAAGCATGATTGGGCGCACACTTCCGATATCGGACGGAACAAATTGCGGAAAAAACTCACGCAACCTAGTTTACCCTAGGTGCGAGCCGCTCCGCTGTAGCTAGTGGATTTCTATTAAAGTGTACTCTATTAAAATGTACTTTAACTACTTTTAAGAACAACTAAATGCTACAATTAATTCGAAATGACTCTAAAACGAAAGAAGGACTAGGAAATGTTGCAATTATTTTGGGACGACTCTAAAATGAAAGCAGGACATATATTTTGAAGGGAGTATGTTTTCTATACTTAGTGAATTTTCTCGTAAACTTACTCATATTTCTCTTTCTTAAAGTGCGCGAACCCTGCCCGTATTCTTTCATCCGACATATTCCCATCCGATGCTCGTTCTAACTCCGCAGTCAGCTGCTTGATCTTAGCGGCGGCCAGACTCTCCAGCTCATTCTTTCCGCTACAAGGAAAAAAATCAATGCTACTATTCAATTGTGCTTTTAATAACACTAAGTAGTCTAGCTTCAAAGACAGTTCAAAAGTTCAAGCTCATTCGGCATTCTAGCTTCTGTTTTCTCCAATTAAACCACCATAAATGATGGGGTGAGATTTGTGAAACTCTTACGGGTTCTATTAAAAATAACGACTCAGTACAAAAGCAAGGTAGACATCTAGGGAAGTAAAGTAACGCTAATGAACAAGAAGCTAATGAACAATATAATAATACATACATGTAGGGGAGTAACATTTGAGGAATATAAGTAATTACATCAACTTTATGTTGGTATCTTTGTCAATTTATTTGCATATAGTTAACCTAAACTTATAACTTATGTACATTATTCGCCCTAACGGTTTCATAAAAAAATTGGGGAAAACGGATACTTTTAGAATAAATAGTATATACACATATCATATGTATACATACAAATCTTATTTTAAACTCAAGCCTTAGTAAGACTACGTTTGTGTTTGCTTTTGCTTTGTAAAAGTGATTTATTTTAATAGTTCTTGAAAGGAGTATTTATTGGTAAAAGTTAGTTATGCTCCAAAATTTAAGTGATTTAATTTAAAGGCATTTAATAGATTAAATTTGTATACGAAAAAACTATCAAGATCAAGGTTTTAAATAGCCGTAGCGGCAGCGGTAGCGGTCATCGCGGTAGCGGCCTGTAGACGACTGTAGCGGTTGCAGCGGCGTGAAATATATTCAATTGCGCAAAACATAAATGTATTTTTTTCACATCATTCACACAACATTTAATTTTGAGTTTCACTCCATGCATCACCATTAATATATTTTTTCACATCATTCACACAACATTTACACATCAAACAGTTCGTGATGTACTGCCGGAAATGTCAATAGTATAGCGGGCTGTAGCGCGATGAAGCGGGCTGTAGCGGACGATAGCGGGCGGTGTAGCGGATTTTTCCCATGATTTGGAAATCACACACGAATAGCGGGCCATAGCGGTAGCGGCCCCTATCGCAGCCGCTATAGCGGTAGCGGGCCGCTATTTCAAACCATGATCAAGATGTTACTCGAAAAAACTATCTTAAATAGCTGAAGAAGATTCGGATGTTAAATTAGTCAATATTTTATCATTAATTTAGTATACAAGTAAAACACATATTATATGTTGCAGTTTTAAATAGTAGAACATTTAAAACCGAGCATCTTCATACATGTTACTCAAACGTATTTAAAAAAAATGTTCTTGAATGGTAAAATAGTAAGGATGTAATTAAGTAAAAAAACGTTTATTAGCGGAACTACGGGTAATTAAGGACGCGTGGAATGTTGAAATGAAAGCTCAAGAGCTAAATTACGTAATAAGACCGACCAACATATGCAAAACATCACCGGAAAGGAGAGATGCGGACAACGACGGTGTAAGGGCAAAATGGCAACATTACCTGAGAAGCTTGCTCAGCCCTGCAATGGCAGCCTCGTACGACTCTCCTCCGCCCATTTCCAAAAGCTTCTAGTCGAGAAATCCAATGGAACAAGCGATTCATCAGATTATTAGACAGAAAAATAACTGAATTCGGCGATCGAAAAACAACAACAAGCATACACGAAGCTTCAATTGAGGATCGTCATCATCAAGTTTTTCGTAATCAAACAAATAAATCTGAGTGATGATTGCAAAAGAAGGCAGAGCAAATATGATTGTTTTGATCGGGGACGAAACAGAGCGGGATATGCGCTAGCTACATCGGAATAATGAATCAACAAAAAAGAGGCGTTTTGTTTTGTGTATTACCTCACCCGCCCGGACGGATTGTACAGAGCGAAATTTCGGTTATGTGGATAGTACAGGCAGGATATGCGCCACTTCGTATCGTATAATAATAGCAGACCAGATTGGGAATCGCATCTAAATACTGCCTCGCTTTTATACACAGACAGAGGGAAGATCAGATATATGAGCTAACCATGGTTAAACATATCTCTCGCCTTCTGTGGTTTATAAAATTATTGCTCCGCAATTTATTTTACTTGTTATCATAATAATGATAATAATAATAATAATAATAATCCATGAGGTGGACGAGTGGGTGCATTAATATGAACATTGAAAAGCAATTCGTCTTTTTCCATTTCTCATAACTACAGCTTTAGAATTTAACAGGCTTTGGTTTGACTAGAAAGTGGGAGTTATGACTTACTCACCCCCTTCAACCATTCCTTCAACAGGGCATTCGTCCCATTTCGTTCAGACCTCACCTATACGTGAATATTAGACCCAATTCCTAACCTTCTTTGGGTTATAAAGGACCGACTTCTTTGTCAAGTACTACCTCCGTCCCACTAAGATTGGGACGAGACAAGGTGCCACGATTATTAAGAAAAGTCAGTTTGTGTGGTTGATATTAAATTGATAAAGTAAGAATAAAGTAAGAATGATTTAGAATCACACAATCTTTATCAAATTTGATATGGGACAATCTTAGTGAAACTTCCCATAAAGGTAAAATGACACCATCTTAGCTGGGCGGATGGAGTAGTAATTTTTTTGGAGCTCAATTCTATCGTAACTTAAACAAGTAAAATTAAACTTACTTTTAGAGAACAACTAGTAATTCCACCCGTGCTACGCACGGGAGTGAAGATGTTTGGATAAATCATACATAAACTCAAAGAATTTCATAGTCAATTAAGCTAACTCAAAACATAAAATAAAAAACTAAAACAAAATAATCAAATTAAAGCATATAATAAAATAAGTTTCATATTTAATACGAAATTAAAAAATAATGCTCCACGTTAAGTACAAATCATCATGCAATATACGTAGCAATGAGTATGCATGTATGTAAAGCAAGGGAACTATAAATTAGTATAAACTTCTTTGTATACTACATTCAACGCTGACTTCGTTGGTTTCCCTTCTTCGTCACATATAACAAATTTTAATCCAGACAGACTTGTTACTCTCGAGACCGCCACGTACAACTGTCCATGGGTAAAAACAGGTCGACGGAGGAAGATGCCAACATTTTCCAATGACTGTCCCTGGCTCTTATTAATGGTCATTGCATAGCTAACCATTAACGGAAATTGCCTACGCTGAAAAGTGAACGGGAGACTAATGTCCGACGGTGTCAAAGTAAGGCGGGGAATAAGAAACTTCTCACCTGCATTTTCTCCGTGCATCATCTGTGCCTCAATAATATGAGCTCCAAGTTTAGTGACCAGAAGTCGTGTGCCATTGCACAATCCAGATGAATGATCTATATTCCTCATAAGCATCACAGGAACTCCAACTTTCAGCTTCAGCTCATGACTCGGCAAGCCAGAACATTTGATACTATTAAGAAATTCAGGAGAATGTATCTCGTGCAAGAGATCATTACTATCCGAGTCAGATGAAGAAGCTGAATCTGAGCTAAGGTATGTCTTTAACTCTGAATCTATCTTGCTCAACATATAATCGTTGACCTTATCAACCTCATCTATGGTCGGAGCAAGAATAGCCCTGTAATTAAGATAATTAATCGGATCACTCTGGGTTAAGAAATCAGGATAAATAGCTTGAACTATAGATTCAACGGGATCAGACGTCATTAGAGCGATCATATCGTCTGGTATATCAATGAGTGATTCTCCATCTTCATTTTCAGCAAAAGCCCCGTCGCCAATCTTCAAAATCCAATCCGCAAAAGATTGGATAGTTGGTCCATCCGGCTGGCCAAGCATCCTCGCGAGCCTCATGTTTTTAGTAAGCCTCACTACAGTACAATGTGACCACAGGAATGAACTGTTCAGTGCAGCGTGCACTATATCCTGTCTTGTGCCTTTTGGTATCACAGGAAGAATCTGTCTAAAGTCACCACCAAATACAATCGTCTTCCCACCAAAAGGCAAGGTAGCGTCACAATGGCTAGAGTAACGAAGCACGTCTCTCATACTCCGGTCAAGAGCTTCGAAACAGTGTCGGTGCATCATTGGTGCCTCATCCCATATAATCAACTTAGATAACTCTATCAGCTTAGCCAACGGACTACCATGTTTTATGTTGCACGTGGAGTCTTCTACAACAGTAAGTGGAATCGCAAACCTCGAATGTGCGGTCCTTCCTCCAGGCAACAGAAGCGATGCTATACCACTTGAAGCAACGTTAAGAACTATATCACCGCGAGATCTAACAGCTGCAGACAAAGTCCTCCATAGATATGTTTTCCCAGTTCCTCCGTGACCATATAAAAAGTAGAATTTCCCATTTCTACAATCTACAGATTCCATTATTCTGTCATACACAACACGTTGTTCATCTGTCATCTCGGCCAACAACTTTGCATGCTCCTCCATCAAATACGATTTATCATACCGCAGCTCTTCATGAATGAGAACTTCTTCAAGCGAGGGCATTTCATCATCAGGTAGCAAGGGTATGCCAGCAAAATCACGTAGTGATCTACCTCTTGACTGCAAGAGCTTCTGAATCTCCAACAAACAATACTTTTCAATTTTCTCTTGATCCAGTTCAAAATCTGCAGTGGCGCATTTAAATATTTTATTAGGTTAGTTAAGATTAAACTAATAAATAAAATAGAGAACAATATATACATTTCATCACAACGAAATTAAACATACAATACTTTTACCTTTAATTAACATCTAAATAAAGAAAACATGTTTACTAATTCAGTATTTAAATATTGTAGATTTTATTAAATTCATCACTCAACATGAAAAGATGCATAACGTTTTTGTATTTTTTTTAAGTGAAAATGTAGAGTAAAAATTAAGTAATAATAAAAGTGCTATTATTTGCATTAATTGATAGACCTTTATTTATTTGTTAACTTTTTTGGATTTTTTCTATCAATTTAGTAAATGTAATATATAAGTTCACTATAAGTATATTTTTTATACTATCATTAAAAAATATCCAAAAGTCATATCTAACATAGTAAACAGTACTCCAGTAGTAAACTGCGTTAATATACATATATCTTACATAGTAACGTAGTATAAGCTATCGTTCATATTCTCTAAATAAATATTTTGTATAAATAATTTTAATAAGGGAATAAACTACTAACATTTAGTGTATTCAAAAAAAACATTTTTATGGTGATCTTTCACACACACATGTGTGTGTATGAGTAATGATCACCTCAGGTAGTTGTGACGTTAGACATCATTCGAACTTTCCTATCACAGGTACTTTCCGGTGAATTTTTTTAATGAAATTCTGTAAGCATGTTCATAATCAAATCTAGTTTATCACCACCAAATTTTAGCTTGAAATTCAATAAAGAAGGTAGTTAAAAACTTTTGCGGCAAAATTGTACACGAAAAACGCAGTCATTTTCCATAATTTATTTAACTGACTTCCTGATTTAATCTAAAGCTAAAATTTTGTGGAGATAACTTACACTTCATGAGGAACATGTTCATAAAATTTCATAAAAAATCCACCGATAAGCACCCCTGATAGTCAAGTTTGGACAGGGCTTCTTGTCAAAACTACTTAAGGGGATCTTTTTCCTATATATAATAATATACTCACGTGTAATATTTTTTATCTCACTTAATATGTCATTAGCTATGTATGTAAGACAATCAGTTAAGTATTTCATGGAGAAGTCTTTATTGTAGAACTAAAATGCATAAATTTGTATAAGCGAGTAATTAAGTGAAATATTAAAAAATGGTTTAGAATATAATATACCTGGATTACCCGTATTCTTGCGAATGTTGTATAGTATGTCATCAGAGAAAAACTCCCAACACTTTTGCCACACTAAGCCTGGCTTAGAAAACTCATTTGAAACCAGAAGAGTAGCAAATACAATGCGGAGCGACCGTGAAGATGACCAGAAGCTTGCATCTGTAATGCCATCAATATACTCCTTGTCATCTTTAAGTAAACCACGTGCATGGCACGCGTCTCTAAATGTAGGATATACGGTCCCTTCATAAGTCCTCAAGTCCTCAAAGCTGGTTGCTCCCTTCACAATATTCAACAGTATCTGTAGATAGTACTTCTCACCTGCTCCAGGGCGTACGTAATAAATGCGTCCAATAGAAAATCCTCTCTTTCTTTCTACCCATTCCATGGTCTTTTTCTTCCAGGTGAATTTGCTTGGAAACTCAACATACGTCAGCTCTTTTGCAGTAGGATACACTTGATTTGCCTTCATCCATGCAGTGAATTTTGTGGAGTTGATCGTAGGTTTATTCAGGACCGCGCTTATAGATGCATTGGGATTGTAATAAACATTTTGCGCATCAGGAAGATGAAAAGTGAGACGTTCAACTGCTACATCTCGATAATGAATATGGAATCCAAAAATTCTCCAAGCAGCCTCACATGTGGATATATACCGGCAGTCATAGTACATCTTAATCTCATCTATTTTTTTCGGAGTAAAGTTATCTATAGCTTCTGAGAACTCCACCGTTATCCTATCGTCACCCTTATTGATGTACTTAAATAAGTACTTAACTGCCCGTGTTTGGTTACACCACTCGACATTAATGTGAGCCTTATACTTCAACAATAAGCCACAGTTGTGTGGGATGACATATCTATTATCAAGATCGTGGGTATTTTTAGTAACATACCTACCGTTTTCTCTCCGTCTGTAAACCGGATAACCTTGCTTATCAATTGCAGTGCGAGTGACAAATCTCTTTGGAAAGTGCTTTGTGCAACGATCTTTTTCCATGCATGGTGCAGACGGATTCATAGGGCCACACGGACCATGGATCATTAATTCTTTAACTGCGTTGTAATAAACAGGGTCAGCATATTCATCCGGGATCTCTGCTGAAACATTAACTGAAATTATTTCTCAATTCAACATGCAAAGTAAAAAATGTTGTGTGGTAAAAACAATTGGCTAACAAAGCTAATAAGCTGAAAATAGAGTTACCGAACGGACTCTAAATGATACGCAAAATGCTTTAAGAGAACTTCTTCAAGAAAATCAATTTATTATGTTTCCTCTATTATGTATGTATAGTCCTACATGAAATAAGATATATGACCGACTGTCAGACTATAATATCGTGTTGCATCATCCTAGCTATTATGAATATATATTATCTTTAAAGTATCACACATACCCTTGAATTTGAAAAAAATAAAATTGTTAATGGAGCTAAAGCCACCGAAATGGATTCAAAATGTAGACAGAAGTAGAAGAGTGTCAATCCACATGTAGATATGGTAGGGGTGGACCGAGCCTGGTCCGGTTCCGGTTTGGGTTTGTGCCCTGCCAGGCTTGGAGGGTTATGGGTAAGGCCCGGAGTCTACCGGATCCGGGCCGGGCGGGTTCCGGTTCAATTTTTTTTTTTGCTTTCTTATTTATTTCAACCCCCCCCATCCCCCATGCCCCCACCCCCCAAACCCCTCAAAAACACCCAGCACAACCCAACTAAACCCAACCCAAACCCAAAAAAAAACAAAAAAAAGGTCCGAACCGGGCCCGGCCGGGCCAGTTCGCCTTTTTCAAGACCCGGAACCGGCACCCCCAGGCCCGGAACTGGTTTCGCAGACCCAGTCGGCTCTAAACAGTACCGGATCGGGCAGCCCGAACCAAGTCTATCCCTAAGATATGGAAGCCAACTTACTTCCAGATCATTAAAGAAGATACTTTGTATTCAACTTAAGTATAATTATGCTTTTGAAAGAATTTCTTTGATCTTATTAATCATTTGTTTAAGTTCCAAGAGGAATTATATACAAAATTCAAAAGATGAAGTAAAAATCAATCCAAATGTAAAAATGGAAAACTTCTCATTGATTCATTTGATTGGCTCCAAGAACCTACACAGCAATGTCAAGCTTCTCATTAATGAATGCCCCTTTGATATTCAAAGAATGATGAATCGCTTCCAGATCTGTAATAAGCGTGTATGCCCCTTCCAAATAAGCATCTTTTTCCAGTAAGAGTGTATGTTTCACCAAAAATGCTGCCACTATATGGTCTAGATACCCTGCTACCTCAGAATTACTGTAGTTGATAATGTCATTTCTAGAAGAGATAGACAATCCAATACTGCCACTTCCTGAGCTAACAGAATCATTAATAGTGGAAGAATTTGCATTGTTACGAAGAGTTTCGTTCTCTAACATATTCCAATTCTAAATAGGGTTACCTCCAATCCTCCCAAAAGCATATCCCATTAGATCATTTAGCCTAGTTGAATTCCCACCATAAATGTGTCCATATCCGATGTTAGAGCCAAATAAATAGCAATCCAAACCTGGAACATTACATGACTACTTTGAGCTTAATGTTAACACAAATCTATAGGCATGATTTAGAAAATAAATCCAAAGCAGAAAATATTCTATTTTCAAACAACAAATTGAATAATCAATGTCATACTTTATAGGCATGGTGTCATTGAATTTTCCTATACTTAAAAGTTATCTCTTTTAGTTTTAGAATTACAAATGTATATCCCAGTCAATCGAACTGTGTAATGGATGTGGCCTGCTAGACTTTGCCCTAACTATAGCGTCCTGCAAACCATATGACCTTTTTAATGTAAGCATTGAATTGAGTAGGTGACCTCTAGATATGAAGAATCAAGCAAAGATTGATAAAAAAGAAACACTTAACAGTCATTCAGCTCCTCGTGTCAAATTGAAAACTTGGGCTTTTACTTAATTCTAGTGCTAGACATGGAAAGATAACAATATCATACATCCTAATTATGAAACAGGGCAAAAGAAACTAACCCAAATCAATCTAGTGAATTGGGAACCCATGTACACTGATTCAAATCCAAAAATAATTGCATGATGAAGTAATAGCAATAAGGTAAAGAAAAAATCCAGAAATTTAGATTTTTATTTCTGAATGAAAAACACATGTGCATTGAAGAATGTCACGGCCATTCAACACAATTCTTCCAAAACTACAATCAATAATGTAAATAAAAATCAGAAAAGATGCTGAAATGTGCAATTTCAAAATTTAAAAACGTAGTCACGGACACGGAAATTGCCGTGACTAAAATGGCCGATTTTTTTTTTTTTAAAAAAACATCTTAGTCACGGACACGTCCGTGACTAAAATAAAAAAAATAAAAAAAAAGTAATCACGGATCGTAAAAAAATCTACTTTTATCACTTACTTGAGAATATATCTTTTCCCACTGTATTTGGATTTTGTTCACACCACGTATGAGTTACATACGGAAGAATTTGACCCCTAAATTTTACCTTTCAACTCATGAAGAGGAGCTCCAATTGATTCTCATTACAATGGGAGTTTCAACATGGTAAAAGATTAAGCAATGGCTAGGGCAATTCATTGGCTCGAGACCAAGTTCCTGTTTATTAATCTGCACATATACAAACAATAGAATGTCACAACAAAAAAGCAAACCAAATTCTTGTTTATCGATTTCCAATATCTTCAGTGTACTAAATATTTGGGCTAGCTGCAAGTACGTCAAACATCAGGATCATTTATATCAACAAATTAACCATCATTCCTTTCACATTCGGAGGAACATGAACATGTACTTTTTATAAACAATAGTATAATTACTAATAAGTGCAGTTCTCTGAAGAGAGTGAACAATGCCTGACCTCCAATACTAACATACTCTCCTTATACAAAATACTTTCTATTCAAACTTTTTTTTATAGATCATCTAAACATTTCATCTAACATCAGATGAGGCTGTGAGCAAAATATAATTTGAGACCTGTTATAATAGCTTGATACATTTAGGAATCCTATTCCCCACTCAATTGGCATAGTATTCATGTTCTGCTCAATTTTCTCACCTTGCGATTATTCATCAGTTATAAGTGCATCACAATAATAGTTTGAAAAAAATAAAACCAAAAATTAGCGGTGTTGGCTTGATCTAAGAATCAGAAAAAGATAAAACTAAAAAGTTAGTGCCAGATTTGGTCTGGTCGAAGAAGGTTAGTTCGTCCAAAATATTCCATAATTTCTAAAAAAAAAAAATGAATGGAACACCTTACCTCAAAAAAGAAGAGGCAGAGGTCTGTTCGATGAAGAAGCATTAAACCGAGCGGGTCGCGAATGAATTTCCAACGATGATAGCAAGTTTGGTGTGGAGGGTTTCAGAATACGATGGATATGATGGACGGTGAAGCGGACCATTTAGCTAAATTTGGATACTATTGAAATTATCTCCTCAGAAAATTTCAATTAAAAAGGGAAAATTGAGAATTTCAGTCAAAATAAGGGTTTATCCAAATAAGAGGTTACGAATAAAGAAAAATGTCAAATGGGAGCTAAAGTTAAGCAAGTGAAGAAAAGAAAAAGAGAGCTTACCGTGAAAGTCAGCTATTGAAAGTCGGACGAATGGGAGCTGCAGATATGGAGAAGGTTTCCGCTAGAAGAAAAGAGAAGAGAAAGGCGATCTATTTTATCCCGGTGAAATTACGGATTAGTCTTAAGCACTTAGGCGGGAGAATTTTCTCTCTCCAGTGTAGTGCTTTTAGGTATAGGATAGGATAAGACAAGAATATTACAAAAAAAATCAATTGGGAAAAAACTGAAAAAGTGACATTTTCTTTTAATTTCCACAAATAAGACTCAAAATGAGTATGAAGACTATTATACCCTTGTAAAGCCCAGCTGACTCATACAATGACCAACAATATAGTGACCAATTACAGTTACTTGTCCAATTAGAGTTACCTGACCTGACCAGTTATAGTGTCCCGATCCAACCAGTTACAGTTATTTGACCCGCCAGTTATTGTTACACGACCGGCCAGTTGCAGGTACCCAACCCTCCAGTTACTATTACCCCACCGGTTAGTTACAGTTACTTGACCCGTCAGTTACAATTACCCGACCAATCAATCATAGTTATCCGACCGTTAGTTACAATTACTCAATTTGACCAATTTTAGTTATCCAATTTGATCAATTACACTTACCGGATTTCACCATTTATAGTTACTCGGATTTCATAATTATCGCAGACCACCACCTTCAGCCATCGCCAGCGATCCGCACCTTCAGCCATCGCCAGCGATCAGCACCTCCTGCCATTGCCGGCGACCACCACCGCCAACACCAAACCTCACCTGCCTGCCTCAACTAGCCCCAGGGACGGCGCCAAGCATTGAGTTGTTGTGTCAATTGACACCACTGAAATTTTTTATGTGTATATATATTGAAATTTTAAAGAATAACACCATAGTTTTTAATGGTGAAATTTCTTTGTCTTATCCATCTACTCTCTTTATCTAACTTTG